GACGGGAATCTAAATAAAGAATGGAACCTTCATAAAATAACTGAGTGGAATTCCTAGAAATGAAAAATAAAGGGTCTGAAATGGAAACGCCACTGGACGAGCTTAACATGAGGCTGGACACTGAAGAAGAATGATCCGTAAGTTGGAATGCAGGCCAGCAGATGATGAAAAGTGGGGAGAAAAACTGAGAGATGAAATGAACAGAGCTTTCACCCTGTGACCTGCGGGGCCGTGGCAGGGCTCTGCCCTGAGTGTACCCGGAGTCTCGGGAGGACAGAGGCAGGAGTGGGAGGACAAAATGCACACATCTGAAAACACAATGGCTGAAACTTTCACAAGCTGAATTAAAAATATCAGCCTGGAGACCCAAGGCTGTCAGGGAACCCCAAATGGGATAAACACAAAGAAAACCACTCCTGGCCCCGTTGCAGGGAGTTGTGGTCACATTGCTGAAGACCAAAGACCAGGAAAACATCCTGGAAAGAATTTGGAGCGGGGATGGATGTGCTGCATGTGGAAAAACCAGGGCAGGAATTGCTGCTGGCTTTGCATCCTAAGCGAGCAGGATGGTTTTTAAGCGTGAAAACTGAAAACCTGTCAATCTAGAACTCTGTATTCACCAGCAACAGTCCCCATGAATGAAGACAGAATCAAGACATTTCAAGATTAATAAAAGCTCACAGGATTCATTCCCAGCAGCTCCTTAGAAGAGGAGGTGCTAGAGGAGATGAAAACACCAAAAATGGTAAATTTGGGGGTAAACATAAAAAGACGTTTTTCCCTTTCAGTTCTGAAGTCCTTCAAGAAACATTTGATGTTTTAAAGCAAAACTAACATCCTGTTGTGGGATTTTTCATAAATGTGGCAGCAAGATACAGGGCAGTGGAAGTTCACAGGATGGGCTGAGCGTGAATTCGAGGGCCCTCGCGCCGCACGTGACCTGGAGTGGGACACGCGCGTACAGCTGTGTTTGGGGAAGGATGCAGGCCTCAGTCCCTAGAGCAAGGGCTAAGAAGTGGAATAAAGCAAAGAGATGTAGCAAAGACCTAATAGAGGATATTAGTGGGGATACTGAAAAATGCTCAGTTCATTCAAAAAAAAGAGAGGAAAGGAACAAAGAACATGGAAGTCAAAAGAAAAGCAAAGAGCAAATGGTGGGTTTGATGCGGCCACGGCAGTGGTTCCACTAAATGTAAATGAACCAGCATGGCAGTAAAAATGCCAGTTTATCCTGTAGCAGTTTATCTCACAGACTGCAGGAGCGACACTCAGTGATGAGCTGTGTACAGGACACCTGCAGAGTTTATCCTCAGACTGCAGGAGCGACACCCAGTGAGGAGCTGTGTACAGGACACCTGCAGAGTTTATCTCACAGACTGTAGGAGTGACACCCAGTGATGAGCTGTGTACAGGACACCTGCAGAGTTTATCCTCAGACTGTAGGAGCGACACCCAGTGATGAGCTGTGTACAGGACACCTGCAGAGTTTATCCTCAGACTGCAGGAGTGACACCCAGTGATGAGCTGTGTACAGGACACCTGCAGCGTTTATCCTCAGACTGTAGGAGCGACACCCAGTGATGAGCTGTGTACAGGACACCTGCAGAGTTTATCTCACAGACTGTAGGAGCGACCCCCAGTGAGGAACTGTGTACAGGACACCTGCAGAGTTTATCTCACAGACTGTAGGAGCGACCCCCAGTGAGGAACTGTGTACAGGACACCTGCAGAGTTTATCTCACAGACTGTAGGAGCGACCCCCAGTGAGGAACTGTGTACAGGACACCTGCAGAGTTTATCTCACAGACTGTAGGAGCGACCCCCAGTGAGGAACTGTGTACAGGACACCTGCAGAGTTTATCTCACAGACTGTAGGAGCGACCCCCAGTGAGGAACTGTGTACAGGACACCTGCAGAGTTTATCTCACAGACTGTAGGAGCGACCCCCAGTGAGGAACTGTGTACAGGACACCTGCAGAGTTTATCTCACAGACTGTAGGAGCGACCCCCAGTGAGGAACTGTGTACAGGACACCTGCAGAGTTTATCTCACAGACTGTAGGAGCGACCCCCAGTGAGGAACTGTGTACAGGACACCTGCAGAGTTTATCTCACAGACTGTAGGAGCGACCCCCAGTGAGGAACTGTGTACAGGACACCTGCAGAGTTTATCTCACAGACTGTAGGAGCGACCCCCAGTGAGGAACTGTGTACAGGACACCTGCAGAGTTTATCTCACAGACTGTAGGAGTGACACCCAGTGATGAGCTGTGTACAGGACACCTGCAGAGTTTATCCTCAGACTGTAAGAGCGACCCCCAGTGAGGAGCTGTGTACAGGACACCTGCAGAGTTTATCCTCAGACTGTAGGAGCGACACCCAAGTGATGAGCTGTGTACAGGACACCTGCAGAGTTTATCTCACAGACTGTAAGAGTGACACCCAGTGATGAGCTGTGTACAGGACACCTGCAGAGTTTATCCTCAGACTGTGGGAGCGACACCCAGTGAGGAACTGTGTACAGGACACCTGCAGAGTTTATCCTCAGACTGTAGGAGTGACACCCAGTGATGAGCTGTGTACAGGACACCTGCAGAGTTTATCCTCAGACTGTAGGAGCGACACTCAGTGATGAGCTGTGTACAGGACACCTGCAGAGTTTATCCTCAGACTGTAGGAGCGACACTCAGTGATGAGCTGTGTACAGGACACCTGCAGAGTTTATCTCACAGACTGTAGGAGTGACACTCAGTGATGAGCTGTGTACAGGACACCTGCAGAGTTTATCCTCAGACTGTGGGAGCGACACCCAGTGAGGAACTGTGTACAGGACACCTGCAGAGTTTATCCTCAGACTGTAGGAGTGACACCCAGTGATGAGCTGTGTACAGGACACCTGCAGAGTTTATCCTCAGACTGTAGGAGCGACACTCAGTGATGAGCTGTGTACAGGACACCTGCAGAGTTTATCTCACAGACTGTAGGAGTGACACCCAGTGATGAGCTGTGTACAGGACACCTGCAGAGTTTATCCTCAGACTGTAGGAGCGACCCCCAGTGAGGAACTGTGTACAGGACACCTGCAGAGTTTATCTCACAGACTGTAGGAGTGACACCCAGTGAGGAACTGTGTACAGGACACCTGCAGAGTTTATCCTCAGACTGTAAGAGCGACCCCCAGTGAGGAGCTGTGTACAGGACACCTGCAGAGTTTATCCTCAGACTGTAAGAGCGACCCCCAGTGAGGAGCTGTGTACAGGACACCTACAGAGTTTATCCTCAGACTGTAAGAGCGACACCCAGTGAGGAGCTGTGTACAGGACACCTGCAGAGTTTATCTCACAGACTGTAGGAGCGACCCCCAGTGAGGAACTGTGTACAGGACACCTGCAGAGTTTATCTCACAGACTGTAGGAGTGACACCCAGTGATGAGCTGTGTACAGGACACCTGCAGAGTTTATCCTCAGACTGTAGGAGCGACCCCCAGTGAGGAACTGTGTACAGGACACCTGCAGAGTTTATCTCACAGACTGTAGGAGTGACACCCAGTGAGGAACTGTGTACAGGACACCTGCAGAGTTTATCCTCAGACTGTAAGAGCGACCCCCAGTGAGGAGCTGTGTACAGGACACCTGCAGAGTTTATCCTCAGACTGTAGGAGTGACACCCAGTGAGGAGCTGTGTACAGGACACCTGCAGAGTTTATCCTCAGACTGTAAGAGCGACCCCCAGTGAGGAGCTGTGTACAGGACACCTGCAGAGTTTATCCTCAGACTGTAAGAGCGACCCCCAGTGAGGAGCTGTGTACAGGACACCTGCAGAGTTTATCCTCAGACTGTAAGAGCGACACCCAGTGAGGAGCTGTGTACAGGACACCTGCAGAGTTTATCTCACAGACTGTAGGAGCGACACCCAGTGAGGAGCTGTGTACAGGACACCTGCAGAGTTTATCTCACAGACTGTAGGAGCGACACCCAGTGATGAGCTGTGTACAGGACACCTGCAGAGTTTATCTCACAGACTGTAGGAGCGACCCCCAGTGAGGAGCTGTGTACAGGACACCTGCAGAGTTTATCCTCAGACTGTAGGAGTGACACCCAGTGATGAGCTGTGTACAGGACACCTGCAGAGTTTATCTCACAGACTGTAGGAGTGACACCCAGTGAGGAGCTGTGTACAGGACACCTGCAGAGTTTATCCTCAGACTGTAGGAGTGACACCCAGTGAGGAACTGTGTACAGGACACCTGCAGAGTTTATCCTCAGACTGTAAGAGCGACCCCCAGTGAGGAGCTGTGTACAGGACACCTGCAGTTTATCCCGCAGTCCCAGCCCTGGCAGCCCTGCAGCAGCAACCATCCAGGGACGAGCAGCCGTGGAGCTTATGCTGCTGTGACACCTAGGGGTGTGTGTCCGGCAGAGATCTGTGTGCAGAGTGGACCTTCTCAGGCCAGACTTCCATGAGCACCTGGGCAGCAGAGCCTGGCCGGTTCTGTGGATCTGTTCTGCCAAGCCCCCCAAAAAGTTAAAAATAACAGTCAGTGATTCTGCCACGTGGTTCTGGGGGCTGACTGCACACAGCCAGTTAGTTTTGGGTTGGGGTCTCTCATGAGGTAACTATGAGAGTCAGCTGGGGCCACAGTCTTGAGGGTCCACTGGCTGGATGTCCCCACAGCCCATACCCACCCTGGCCACGTGGCCCCCGCTCTGTGGTTCTGAGAGCATCCCCAGGCGGCTCTCTCCAGTGCTCAGGCCACATGTGGGTGCTCCAGGCCTTAGAAAGCCAGGGGCACTTGCCCTGTGTCCCTGCATTCTGGTGAGTCCCTGAGGCTGGCTTGGTTTCAGGGAGGGCGGAGCCCTGTGCACGTGTGCTCTGGGCCGGGAGATGCCCCATCTTAGACACCACCTGTGCCAGCCACAGGTCAACAGTGACCCAGGGAGGGAGAGGGGGCCCAGGGTGGGCCACAGTGTCCTCCTCCTCACTGGCCCTGTGTCCTGCAGCGTGGAGTCCCGGCTGGTGGCGGAGATGCTGTGCACGGCCACTGGTATCCAGGGCAGGAGTATCATGGAGAACCTGAAGGGCCAGAAGCAGCTGCGGCTGGTGGCGGCCAAGGCCTTCATGGAGAGTGCCAGGTGTGCAGCTGTGAGGCAGCTGGGGTGGCGCTGTGGGGCCTCAGACCCTCCACCGTTGTGTGGGACCCTGTGCTCACCAAGGTTGTGGCCGTTCTGTGGACCCAAGGGAGGGCACCCACCAGTGGGGGCAAGGTGGACGGCATAGCCAGAGCAGCGCACAGTCTTCAAGGAGGTGTGGTGGCCCCCTCTTGCCCATGTACCCACCTGGGCTCCTACAGCCCGACCTTGGCAGGGGTCTGACCCTGCGCTGCCCAGAAAGGCCCACTGCAGAGGACGCAGCAGTGATACCCGAGCAAGCCACAGGCCCCTCCCGGTCCGGCAGCTCCAGGTGGGCCCAGGCAGAGCTGCCACGTCACGACTTGCCCTCTTTCAGGTTCGGAGGCATCGCGGGCAGCAGTGCCCTGGTGATGCTGGCTGCGCGGCACTACTGGAATGCCTGGCTCCCACTCCTGTCCTCGGCCGTCTACAGGAAGAAGGCCCAGGGTGCCCTGCAGAGGCTCATCCGCATCATCAACACGACAGAGGCCAGAAAGCAGGTGCGTCAGGCCTGGAGGGGCTCCCTGGCTCCCACTGCCCTCATGGGCCTCCCACAGGGTGCACCAGTGCCAGCCAAGGAGGGGAGGGGGTGAAGGGGGGTCCTCAGCTCAGCACTGTGGGGGCCCCTGCTGGGCTCAGTGCTCAGCTCTGACCTCCCCCAGCAACACACATGCCCCCAGGGGCTCTCAGCACTGGAGACGCACAGCAGGGATGGGGAGCGAGGCCCACAGCATCACCGCTTGAGGGGCTTGGATTCCAGGCAGGAGGACGGCCCCACCTGCAGTGAGAGAGGGTGCCCTGAGGAATGGCGAGTGGAGGGCAGGGCAGGCTGGGGGCTGGGCCACAAAGTGCCTCTGGTGGCTTGAGGCAGAGTGGGGTGGTGGGGAGCAGAACCCCCAAGGCCTAGGGGATGGGGCAACCCAGGGAGGATGGTTGTCAGGAGAGGAGCCCCATGAATTTAGGAGTGCATCTCCTTCTAGGGCTGTTGAGGGAGACTGGGCGTGGGTCCTGGCATGGGTCCCGCAGGCCTCCCCAAGACCAGGAGCCTGGCTGGCTCCTCCCTGGGCACAGGCCAGCAGGACAAGCCTCAGCCTTGTGGACTGGGCTTCCTGAACAGGCTCTGGAGTTGGCCTTTTCAAAGTCAGGCCAAGAAGCTGCATGGGGCATGCATCTGAGGATCACGTGCAGTGGCTTCGTGGCCTTGCCCGCCGTCTGTGCCTGCTGTCTGATACCCCACTCCCCTGTCCTCCTCCTCCCACTGGAGCTTTGGGTTATGGGGCTCTGCTTCTCCTAGAATGCGCCCTTTTTGTGGGCTCTCTGTGGCTGACTCCTGATTCCTGGTTAGAGCTGAGGCCAGCAGAAGAGAGCTCAGAGTGGGCTGGTCTGGCTCAGCCCTGATCTGAAGACTGACCCGAACCCTCAAGTCATGTTGGGGCCTCTGGGCTGTCCAGCCCACCCCAGCCTCTCTCCCCATGCTGGCCTCCTCCAGGGGAGTGCCTCCTCATCCAGTGCGGTCTTGGCAAAGGGATCCTCCTGGGCTGGCTCCCCCAGAAAGCCCAGGTCTGAGCTCTGTGAAGAGCTGCCTGTGAAGCCAGACTGGAGAGTATAGAGGCCAGCCATGGCTGCTCCGCCCGGCCCGCCATCCCGCGTGTGGGCAAGATGCAGCTTCCTGGCCCCTGGCCCTCCACCCCGCCAGCCTGCATGTGGGCAAGATGCAGCTTCCTGGCCCCCGGGCTTGGCCTCCCTCTGGTGCTGTCCAGCACATTTTCCGGCTGCCCAGGAAGACCAGAGCAGATTTTTACTGCTTTGAGCAAGAGTCCTGCTGACTCAGATATGTGGCTTCCGCAGGGCCGTGTGAAAGGAGGACCTGTGGACCGTGAGGGCTGGGACGGACGGGGTCGTGGTCAGAGAGCCTCAGGACAGAGCTGCATGTTAACCCCTTAGCAGGCATCTGATTTGCAAGTATTTCCTCCCATTCTCAGTTAACTTTTCACTCATTTGATCATGGCCCTTGAGGCATAAATGCTCCTAATTTTTAAGAGGTCAAATTTATCTGTTTTTCCTTTCGTTGCCTGTCTTTGGTGTCATATCCCTGGTCATGGCCACATCCAGTGCCTGAGGATGTTCTCTACTATTTTCTTCTAAGAATCTTGTAGCTTTAACTCTTGAGTGTCGCTCTTTGATCTGCTTTAAGTTAATTTTTGCATATGGTATTAGGCAAAGGTTCAACGTCGTTCTTTTGCTTGTGGATATCCAGTTTTTCCGGCACCACTTGAAGAGACTCTGCTTTCTCTAGTGAATGTTCTTGGCACCCTTGTTGAAAATAATTTGACCAGAAATGCAAGGCTTTCTTTCGGGGCTCTCTAGTCTATTTCACTGCCCTATATGGGTATCATTTTGCCAACGCTGTTTGCGTTACTGTAGCTCATAATATGTTTCCGAGTTGAAAAGTGTAGGTCCTCCAATTTTGTTTTTTTTTTCAAGACTGTTTTGGCTCTTTGGGGCTCCTTGCAAGTCCATATGAATTTGAGGATAAGGTTTTTAATTCCATATGAGTTTGAGGATAATTTTGTAGACTTTTTTTTTGGTAAAGACTGTTGGAACCCACAGGGATTGTGCTGAGTACTGCTTTGGGTAGTATTGACATTTTAACACTGTTAAGGCTTCCTATCCATGAACATGGGTTAGCTTTTCATGAATTTAGATCTTTAATTTCTTTCAGCAACATTTTATCGCTTTTAGCATGTAAGTCTTTCACCTTCTTGGTTAGATTTATTTCTAAGTACTTAATTTTTTTAAGGTGTCGTGACGAATGGGAGTGCTTTCTGTCTTAGCTCAGGTTGCCGTAACAAAATACCATAGTCTGGGTGGCTTAAACAACATAATTTATTTCTCACAGTCTGGACCTGGAAGTCTGAGATCAGGGTGCCAGCGTGCCTGGGTTCTGGTAGAGAACGTCTTCCTGGCCATGGACGCCCGGCCACCTTCTCACCGTGTCTTCATGTGGCACACGTGGCACACAGGAGGAGAGAGCAGGGTCTCTGGTGTCTCTTCTTAAAGCGTGCTGATTTCATCCTGGGGACCCCACTCTTATGACCTTGTCTAACCCCAGTTACCTCCCAAAGGCTGTGTCTTCAGAGACCACCACAGTGGGAGGTAGAGTCTCGGGACATGAACTTTGGGGGCACAGAGTTCAGTCTGTAGTGCTTTCTACCTAATTTCCTTAGGGATTTTTCATTCCTGGTGAATAAGAACACAGCTTACCGTTGCGCCTGCAACCTTTCTCAGGTCATTAGTTGGCTCTGCTAGCTTCCTTGTAGCTTTGTAAGGGTTTTCTCCACATAGGGTCACATCATCTCTGAACAGAGATAGTTTCACTGCTTCTTCTGCAGTTTAGATACTTTTATTTCTTGTTTTTGTCTGATAGCTGTGGTTCGAGCCCCTGGTGCAGTGTGGAGTAGCAGCAGGGAGGCCATGCCTGTGTCCTGCTCCTGCTCTTAGTGAGAGAGCTTCCGCCTCACCATTGCATGTGACGTGAGCTGTGGGATTTTCATAAGGACCCTGTATCGTGTTGAGGAATTTTCTGAGAGTTTGTATCATGAAATAGCATTGGGTTTTGTCAGACGCCTTTTCTCCATCCATTGAGCTGGTCACGTGGTTCTCTCCTCTGTTGTGTTAACGCTGAGTCCTGCTCTGCGCACAGGGAGCCACCCTGGCCTTTCTCACAAACCCCACTTAGTCATTGTGAGTGATCTTTCAATACGCCGTCGGGTTTCACTTGCTAATCTTTTGTGGAGGATGTTTGCGGCTGTATTCATAAGGGATATTGGTCTGTAGTTTTCTTGTGACGTCTTTATCTGGATTTGCTCTCAGAGTAATGCTGGCCTCACGGAGTGGACCTGGGAGTGTTTCTTTGTCTTTAAGTTTTTGAAGAGTTTGTGTGGATTGCTGCTAATTCCTCTTTAAATGTTTGGTGGAATTCACTGCTGAAGCCATCTAGTCCAGGTCTTTTCTTTATTAAGAGTCTTTGGATGGCTAATTTAATCTGTCATAAGTTCTGTTGAGATGCTGTTTCTTCCCGAGTGTGTTTGGGCGTGTTTGGGTGTGTTTGGAGGGTTCGTTGGTTTTTTTCTGGATTGTCTCACTTGTTGGTTCGAAGGTTCGCAGGATTTTCTCAGAATCCTTCCTGTCTCCCTGACGCCGGCAGGTCGTGTCTTCACCTGCGTTACTTACTCTAGTTATTTGAATAGTCTTTATTTCTTCTGTTAGCCAAAGGCTTGTCCATTCTTTTGGTCTTTTTGAAGAACCAGCTTTTAAACAGTGGATCTCCTTCGTTGTCTGTCTGTTCTCCGTTGTGCCCGTGCCCTGATCTTCAGCGTGTCCTTCCTTCCGCTGGTGCTTTTGGTTCCTTACGACGTAGAGCTGGACTGTAGACTCGAGGTCCCTCAGTGCAGCGCGCACAGCTGTGACTCCTGAGTGCAGCTCACGGCCTCCCCCAAGGTTTTTCTAATGTGCTTTTCATCACGTTGCTTTAGAGCCATAAAACCAACTTAGGGCCGGGCACGGTGGCTCAAGCCTGTAATCCCAGCACTTTGGGAAGCCGAGGCGGGTGGATCACAAGATCAAGAGATCGAGACCATCCTGGTCAACATGGTGAAACCCCATCTCTACTAAAAATACAAAAAAATTAGCTGGGCATGGTGGCGCGTGCCTGTAATCCCAGCTACTCAGGAGGCGGAGGTTGCGGTGAGCCAAGATCGCGCCATTGCACTCCAGCCTGGGTAACAAGAGCGAAACTCCGTCTCAAAAAAAAAAAAAAAAAAAAAACCAACTTAGATGTTTCATATCATTGAAAAACCTCTCGTTAGGTTAGGGGAGTGGTCATAGACTTTGTGACTTACTAGTTCAGTTATTTAGGTGCAATGTCTGTAATTAGATAGAGCCAAATTGTTAGCGCGGAACGTACCCGAGTCACGCAACGCCGAAGTACGTTCCCAGCGGCAAATCCGCACGGCGCTGCAGCAGCCTCCATCCTTGCCTCCTCAGAAAAGAGACTTCAGCTGGGGAGCAGAAGGGGAGCAGAAGGCGGAAGGAGAGACTGAGGCAAGTCTTAGAGCAGGGGCGAGCGTTTATTAAAGAGCTTTACAGCAGAAAAGGAAGGAAGGAAAGGACTCTCGGAAGAGGGCCGAGCGGGAGATGTGAGAGCTCACGTGTGGGGTTCAACCTTCGACTTGGGGTTTCATACTGTGGCGGCACTTTTGCTTAATGCAGCTAAAGCCAGGGTCCTTGTCACACTGCCACAAAAGGTGAGGCTCGTGGGCAATGTGAAGAGTAAGGCAGGGTTTTAGTGGGTGAAAAGAGGAAACACGCTTGGTGAAGTGAGAGCGTGTCCTGCCTGTGCACCTCCCAGCTCACCGACTGAATCCCAGCTTCTCCCGGGAAGAGGAGGGGCCAGGCTCCTCCCCGAGAGCTTCGGCGGCTCCTCCAGTGCGCAGGCCCTCGGAGATTCTATGGGGACCCCTCCCACCTGGCTGCCTCAGTGCACTGGCACACTTCCAGGGTCTCCCTGATGCTTCCCTTGGGTGTACAGTGGCTGCCCCCACGCGGGAGGGGACGCATGCCCAGTGTGTTCGCTGGAGTTGTGCACGTGCTCCTTGAGGTGCTCCCTTCCAGTCGAGTGTCCCTAGAGGAAGGTCAGAGACCAGTGAAACTGCCATTTGCCTGTCAGTGTGAGAGCCTGAGCCCACTCGCCCCGCTCTGAGATCTTTCTGGGAAGCTGCTCATCACCTGTTTCAGGAATTTTTCCGTCCCTTGGGAGACGGCCTTTCCCTGGTGCTGGCTGAGACCTGAGACCAATTGTTACTTTAGATGGACTGACGTTCCTGGTGGAGGGGCCCCTCCTGCCCTGCTCATGTCCCACTGGCTACCGACTGTAGCGAAATGAAAAGCCGAATGATGTCAGCTTGAAAGGAAGACGCTGAGGCAACATGAGAATGAGTCCAGAGTCTACCTGGGCCGGGCGGCCCTGCACTGGCTCCAATTAGAGGCAGTTACGAGTGGGATTTTCAGGGGAAAGAATAGGCCGTTCCTGAGTTGTCTGCCACACATTTACATTAAAATTACATAAGCTGTTAACTGGCTGTATATCGCTCGCTGCAGAATGTGGGCTCCAGCGGCGGGTGCACCAGCGTCAGGGTGGTTGACAGCCATGTGTGGCAGCAGCAGGCAGTTTGAGGAGAGGGACACGTAGCCCCGACGGGTGAAAGACTATCTTGCAACTTTCAAGTTTTCACTTGTTTACTTGTTTTGCTTTAGGAGGAAGAGAAGACGCTGCTCCTGCACCAGTGGCCCACAGCCGACTTCCAAGGCGGCGGGACGGCCCACGGGCATTTCCTTCCAGGTTTGTAGCCGGACAGACAGGCCCATGGGCTCCAGGTACAAGGAAGGGGAAGGACTCGAGCACGATTTTAGACGTGGTGCTTTTACATTCCTGTGCCCTGACGTAAAGCGCCCCCACAATAGCTCCAGGCAGCATCTGTTCAGCATTCGATGCATGATAGGCCCTGAGTGCTCTTCGGGAATGAGCTCCTGAGATTCCCTCTCGACATACAAAGAGGCAGAGCCGGGGTCTTCTGACTGTCCCCCTAAAAAGTCACACTGTAAACGATCTGCCGGGATTGGTGCTGAGCCAGTGTGAGGAGCAGCACCCGCGATGCAGCCCAGGAGGAGCTGAGAACGTGTGCCTCAGGTCGCTGGCTTACAGCTTGACTTTACACGTTTTTTGGGGCCAGAAGTTACAGGCAGAGACATCAGTACATGTCTGGGGCACATTGGTTTGGTCCAGAAAGGTAGAACATCTCGGTGGCAAGGGTGTTTCCAGGTCCCTGGTGGATTTGAAGATTCTCTGATTGAGACTTTGTTGAAAGAGTTATTTTCTAACACCTGGAATCAATGGAAAGGAATGTCTGGGTTCAGGTGGGAGCTGTGGGGACCATGGTTTTTATCTTGCAGATGAAGCCTCTGCGCTCTTCTCAGACAAAAAGACACCGTACTCGGTTACTTCTCCCCTGACCCGGGAAAAGCCCCGCAGAGGGAAAATAGGATTCTCAACAGGACGTGGATTTTCCCCACAAGAGACAGCTTGTGGGGCCGTGTCAGAATATGCCAAAGAAAGATATTTGGGTATAAAATGCTTTGATCCCTTTCAGGGCCTGCTGTCCGTCCGCTCTGCTGTGCTAGGATCAGGCTAATGCTTGGTGTCTTCCTGCTGCAGAGTCCGCTGTTTCATGTGGATGCTGGTCCCGTGTGCCTGAGTCCCTAACAGAGAGGAGATGACGCGGCCTGTCCACCCCCGCCCCTCCACCCCAACCCCACTAACTAGGTTTTCAGGTGTACCTCAGAAGCCCTTGGCCAAGAGGAGGGTCCACTTGGTCAGCTGGGGGGCTTAGAGCGTTACTGTTGGTTTACGTAACCGTTGTCTGGGTCCACGCGCCCGAGTCCAGAGTGGACACTCAGCTCCCGTCATGGCTGCCGTGAAGTCTGCCTCTCGGCTGTGCCGGCAGAGAAATCGCATTTTTCTCTCCTGCAAAAACAAACGCACAAAAGCACATGCTGGCCTTAGAACAACAGAACCGTATTAGAAAACCAGCTCATCATGTTCACAGAAAAAAATGGTCATCCGCGAAAAAATTATCCCTGTTAAGGGTCCTAAGTGTATTCGGGAAATCTTTAAATGCTGTGGAATGGAAAAGTGGAAACTGCCTTGAGCATTTCAGAGCCAAATAGGCAAAGTTGATTTAAAATGATAAACAAAAGTGTGGCTGTGTGTGGTTGAGTACCACGCTGAGCACCAACCCCAGCAGTGCGTGCAGATGGCTGGTCCTGCAAGCATGAGCCGCAGGCGCACGGCAGGTCTGTCCACCGGGAGGCCAGGCTGCAGCGGGGCAAGGGTTAATCCTCAGGTCGCTGAGCAGGACAGGGGAGAAAGCCTCAGACCCACCTCCCTGAGGAGTCTGGAGATAGAGGTCGTGAGGTTTTAGAGAGGACGGAAGCGTGGAGACGGCTCACTGGTGGAAGAGCACAGGGTCTCAGGAAGGCATTCCCAGGCCAATCCCTATCCCACTCCTCTAGGGGGACTCCACACAGGCACATTCCTCCTCCCCACGCACAGTCCACGGCCCTCACCCCACCCTGGAGGCACCGAAGCTCCACACAGGCACATTCCTCCTCCCCACGCACAGTCCACGGCCCTCACCCCATCCCGGAGGCACTGAAGCTCCACACAGGCACATTCCTCCTCCCCACGCACAGTCCACGGCCCTCACCCCACCCCGGAGGCACCGAAGCTCCACACAGGCACATTCCTCATCCCCACGCACAGTCCACGGCCCTCACCCCACCCTGGAGGCACCGAAGCTCCACACAGGCACATTCCTCCTCCCCACGCACAGTCCACGGCCCTCACCCCACCCTGGAGGCACCGAAGCTCCACACAGGCACATTCCTCCTCCCCACGCACAGTCCACGGCCCTCACCCCACCCTGGAGGCACCGAAGCTCCACACAGGCACATTCCTCCTCCCCACGCACAGTCCACGGCCGTCACCCCACCCTGGAGGCACCGAAGCTCCACACAGGCACATTCCTCCTCCCCACGCACAGTCCACGGCCCTCACCCCACCCCGGAGGCACCGAAGCTCCACACAGGCACATTCCTCCTCCCCACACACAGTCCACGGCCCTCACCCCACCCCAGAGGCACTGAAGCTCCACACAGGCACATTCCTCCTCCCCACACACAGTCCACGGCCCTCACCCCACCCCGGAGGCACCCAGAGAGCCTCGGGGGATGCATGGTGGGTGAGGTCCGGCTGCAGTGCCACTGCCCGTAGACTGAAAGTGCATTGGGTGCTCCCTGGACAGGACTGTGGGTCAGCCAGGAGGTTGCACCTCATGGCCAGCTCTGCCTCCACTTAGGCAGGATTGGAGAGGACTCCTTGCCACCCATGTGTGGTTTCCAAGTTCATCAGACCCTGGTTTACTGCATTCATACGGGAGGAAGCAGGACTCAGGGTCCTGGGACCGACTTGGTTCCTGAGTTTCAGACTTGGAGCAGCTTCTCTGGCCGGTGCCTGGGTGAGGAGGGCCTGGCAGAGTGAGAAGGCCACAGTGAACCCACAGGTCCTGGCGTCCGATGGGGCACCGTGCTCCCAGCCGTGGGCGCGTTCGCTCCTTGGACTCAGTGGTCCAGGTGCCGGCACCAGAGGTGGGTCCTGCTGATACCATGGTGGGGCTGGTGCAGGCGACAGGCTCCAGCCCTCAGCGCTGTGGCCTGCAGGGTGCTGGGGGAGGGCGCTGAGAGAACGGGGTTTGTCTTGCCTTAGGGTCCTATTGTTTATCTTTAAAATTATAGAAAAGCACCAGATTTCTGAAAAGAGGAAGGCATGAGGGACTGCTGAGTCTGAGAAGGCTCCAGAGGGTGGGTGGAGGCAGGCGCTGTCCCGACCTGGCCCAGAGACCCTTGACCAGCACAGCAGGGCCAGTGGGGGCAGCAGGGGGGCAGCAGGCCATGGAAGCAGCGGGAGGGGAGCCAGGTCAGGGGCAGCAGGGGTGCAGCAGGCCACGGAAGCAGCGGGAGGGGAGCCAGGTCAGGGGCAGCGGGGGTGGAGACAGCCAGGGAAACCCGAGACCTGCTGCCAGTATGTGGATGGAGCCTGCATTGGTACCCCACTGTGGTTCTCGGGCACTCAGTGCAGTAGAAATTGACTTGAGACCCAAAGAGTTTTCCAGACAACGCTTCATCGAAGATTCTTCCTGGGACAAGACTCTGAAAGAGTCAGGAGGGCGCAGGAATTGTCATTGGGTAGTGTGTGCAGGCGGGCCCAGACAGCGCCTGTGACGGGGAGGGGACGGTTCAGCATCCTGGTTGCCAAGGAGGTACTGGATCGGGGGCAGCAACAAGGCACAGATCCTCTGCTTGGCGCCCCTTCCCGAGGTGGGGGCTCCATGGCCTTGGTGTGGTATTTCCATCTCCCGAGGTTCCTGGAATCCTTGTGGTAAAAGGATTCTTGGCTGGGAGGTTGTGGAGCAGGCTGGGTTCTGTGATGAGTGGGGATGTGTGATGGGATCCAGCCCTGTGTCCACCCTGTCTCCTTGTGGCTCCTTCAAGTTCATCGGCAGCTCACCCAGACACTGAGAGTTCCGTCCCACCAGGCTCCACCCACTGGCTTGGTGCATATGGTGGCACTGATGGCCCACGGGGCGCCCTATGAGGTCTGCGTGGGGCTCACTCAGCAGGCAGGCAGTCTTTGTGTGTGCCGCGGAGGTGGCACTTTGCCTCTGCATGTCACGCTGCAGCCTGTGCGGAGACACGGGGCTGTTCCCGCACCACAGCAGGCACCAAGCCTGAGGACTCCGGAGCGTGGACATGGTTCTGTGTCCTCAGCTGTGGGGGTGCTTCCCGTGCAACTCCTGAGAGGACCCTGAGTCCTGCTCGCTGATGTTCAGTATGTGGAGACACAGGACTGTGTTTGTGAACACAGAATTCTCCAAGCACATGGAGAGGGAGAGGCGGAGACCAGCAGGGAGACAAGACGGCTGCTTCCCGCGGTGGAAAGGACATCTCGGGTGGCCGGTGGCGGGCTGAAGGGGCCACACGCGTCCACAGCTGGTGTCAGCCATGCAGGGCACGTGCTGGCCTGGGCACCTGTGTAGCCACGGTTCCACCTCGGGGGCACTGTGATGGGCAGTGTAGTCCAGGAGGTCTGAGGGCGCTGTTGGTGAGGGATCAGGCGGCTCCAAGGACACCCCTCCTTCTCCCTCCCAGGGGCTGAGGACGACCTGACACTTCGCGCCGCACTCTACGGCCTGCTCTTCCACAGCCATGCCGACCAGGATGACTGGGAGGGCGGCCTCAAGGTGCTGGACGAGGCTGTGCAGGTGCTGCCTCGGACGGCCCACCGCCGGTGAGTGCTCCCCACACTGCCTGTGAGTGCTCCCCACACTGCCTGTGAGCGCCCCAACACCGCTTGTGAGTGTTGCACCCCTGCTACAGTGTGCTCCCCCCACCCGGAGTATCTCCCCCCACCACCTGTGAACACCCACCTGCTGCACCCTGCCTGGAGCATACTCCCCGACCCCACACGGTCCCTCTCTGCCTGGGCCTCCCCCAGTTCCCACTCGCACTGGAAGACTTGACTTCCCCGGGAAAATTCAACACGGAGAGAGCGGGAACTTAAAACCCAGTGCGGCCCGGAGACCCACACTCAGCGGGCTCTCTTTTGCTTCATCATTTTAAGCAGGGAAGTGGAGGAGTGAGTCTGGGCCGCGTCGCCGATGTTTAAAGCCATCCCATCCCAGCGTAGGGTTGTCGCCTTCCCTTTCTTTAGCCTGATCTTCAAGCACATGATCATCGTGAAGGCCAAGCTCGGGCAGACTTTCTCGATGGAAATACAGAAGTTCAAGGCTGAGAGTGAGGACTACGTGGCAGGCATGTGGCACCGGCTGGCCCTGAACTCACGGAGCGTGTCTGGAGAGCTGGCCTGCTACCAGAGCGCCATCCAGGCCTTGCAGGTGCGAAACCATGAGCATGGGTGCACGTGGTACCGTTTATCCCCGAGTGGATGGGAGAACCGTGTGTACAACAGCTCAGCTGGGAACTGGCATGGGTGGCACTTATGGCAGCGATGGCTGACGGTGCAGAATGCACCACATGGCCCCGGGGACGATGGACAGAGTTGGTTTCAGTGGTCCCTTTCCAGCATGGAGGGGTCATGGTCAGGTCCTCGTCCCTGAGGAGGGTGTGGGGAGCTCAGAGGGTGATGTCCCAGGTGGAAGCACCTAGGCTCCTCTAGAGGCACAGGGGCCCAGATGGGCGGGTGGCGGCAGAGGAGAGCAGGGCTCTGCAGGACCCTGGGATTTGGGGGTCGTGGAGGACGTTGGTGTGTCTTCCCTACCCACAGAAGCCAAGACAGTTTCCCTGGATACACCTGGAGTGGGCTTGGGAGAAGGTGGGTGCTTTGGCGTCGATCTGACTCCTCTGCTTATCAGGAGCAAGGGCCATGCGGGGCACAGCCCAGAACTTCGTCGTGGGGACAAAGGCATCCCAGGCCCCTGGCGTGAAAGGCGCGAACCTTTCAACATTAGTGAATACCTTAAAAGGCTTTTCTGTTACACAGGATGTTTCTCTGGCTGAGAGCAACCCTCCCGAGGACTTTGGATTGCTCTGGGGTCCAGGCAGCCCCCGGCGTGGGGTAACTGAGGATAGTCCGGAGGCTCTGCCAGGTGCTAAGAGTGCAGCTCAGGGCACTGGGCTGTCAAGGCAGACTCCCGGGTACTGCCACGGGAGCCACGGGAAGCCACGGAGCCTTGCTTCGGGGAACCAGAGGACATGTCGTTCCTTGGCAGTTGCCCTGCTGGGGTTGGCAGGGATCAGGCAGGGACCCAGCCTCCTCCAGGGAAAGCAGGAAGGGCCTGAGGAGGGTGACGGGAAGGCAGGGCCCAGCTGAGCCGTGCTGGCCCTCGGGCCCTGGAAAGTGTTTTCCGTCCTCACTGACCCGAGTCCTTCCTTTAGTTGTCTGTTTTTGTTAGAGGTACAATGTGATGTTTTTAGTAAATTCTCAGGGTTATGCAGTCATCACCCCCACACAATTTTAGAACGTTTCATCGCCCCCCAAAACCCTGAGTCTGTCAGCACTCACTCCCCATCCTTCCCTCCCTCCGCTGGCCCTGTGAGCCACGGATCTGGACATTTTCTGTAAACAGAACGGAGCATGACATGGTCCTTTGCTCAGTGTGACATCGCCTGGGGCCGTCTCCATCGTTCCCAGTCAGGGCTGAGTAGTGTCCGGTGTGTGTCTGACGCTCTGTTACGTGCTTATCCATTAGGCCACAGATGGCCGTTCGTGTTGTTGCCCACTGTTTGCCTGCTGTAAAGAAGGCTGCTGTCAGCATTTGCTCGCGCGTTCTGCTGGCCCCGTCCGGGCCTCCCGCGGGCACAGCCCCGTGGTGGAGTTGCTGGGCACACGGCTGCCCTGTGGGGGACTGTCGGAGGGAGGGCCGGATTGTCTCCCTCAGCGGCCGCAGTGTTGCTGTCCCCACCCCCAGCGCATGGGGCTCTGGTTTCTCCACCCCTCACCAGCTCTCGATCTCATCTGACTTCTAGCTGTGCTGTGGGCGTGAAGGGGTGTCTCCTCGTGCCTGCCTACATTTTCCCAGTGACTGAAGATGGGGCGTGTGTTCCCAAGGGCTCATGGGCCATTTGTAGGTCGTCAAAGTGTCCATTGCGGTCCTCTGCCCGTGTGTAATCTGCTTGTAGGAGCTCGCGGTGTATTAGGGGTGCAGGTTCTTTAGCAGGAGTGTCATCCAACCCCTTCTCATTCTCTGAGCGGCTTTTCCAACCACTTCTTCACTTTCTGGGTGGCACGATTCATGGCATAGTTCAAAATTGTGATGGAATTCTAGTTGTCTATTTGTTGTGTTGGCACTTGTTGTCTTGGTATTGTAGCTGCATCTGCTCATGTTGATGGCGTCGTGTCTGCAATTGCCTGCCTGCGTTGATGGGGCTGTGTGTGTGTTTACATGCATTGACGGCGCCGTGTGTGCGTTTACACGCGTTGACGGTGCCGTGTGTGCGTTTACATGTGTTGACGGCGCCGTGTCTGCGATTGCCTGCGTTGACGGCGCCGTGTGTGCGTTTACATGCGTTGACGGCGCCGTGTGTGCGTTTACATGCGCTGACGGTGCCGTGTGTGCGTTTACATGCGCTGACGGGGCCGTGTGTGCGTTTACATGCGCTGACGGGGCCGTGTGTGCGTTTACATGCGTTGACGGCGCTGTGTGTGCGTTTACATGCGTTGATGGCGCTGTGTGTGTGTTTACATGTGTTGATGGTGTGTGTGTGTTTACACGCGTTGATGGCGTCGTGTGTGCGTTTACATGCGTTGATGGCGCCGTGTGTGCGTTTACATTCGTTGATGGCAGTGTGTGTGCGTCTGTGCATGTTGATGGTGCTGTGTCTACATTTACATGCGTTGATGGCATTGTGTGTGCGTTTACATGCGTTGATGGCGCTGTGTGTGCGTTTACATGCGTTGATGGCGCTGTGTGTGCGTTTACATGCGTTGATGGCGTTGTGTGTGCGTTTACATGCATTGATGGTGCTGTGTGTGCGTTTACATTCATTGATGGCAGTGTGTGTGCGTCTGTGCATGTTGATGGCGCTGTGTCTACATTTACATGTGTTGATGGCATTGTGTGTGCGTTTACATGAGTTGATGTTGTATGTGTGTCTGCCCGTGTTAATGGCGTTGTGTCTACATTTACATGCGTTGATGTTGTGTGTGTGTCTTCCCGTGTTAATGGCATTGTGTCTACGTTTACATGGGTTGATGGTGTTGTGTGTGCGTTTGCTCATGTTGATGGTGTCGTGTCTGCAAAACTCGAGGTGATGAAGGTTTGTTCCCTGTTTTCTTCTGAGTTTTATAGTTGTAGCTCTTATGTTTATGAGTTATACAGTGTGAGGCAGGGTCCCGGCACTCCTCAGGCTGTGGACACCAGGTGGCCCTGCACTTCTGTTGAGAAGATGACCCGCTTTCTCTTGAACTTCCCCATCAGGCCAAGGCCCACCCCAATGTGCACAGCTTTTGTGGGAGCCATCACCAGCCTCCACAGCTATTCCCCTCCCTCCCCATCTGTGGACTTCCTTCACGGGGCTTCCAGGCCCCACTGCCCCACTGGTTCCTCATCCTTCTCCCCTTCTCACCTCTTCATGACAGAGGAAGCCCTGGGTTAAGGGCAGGACCTTGGCGATCTGATTAGCACCCCACGTCCTGAACTAAGTGCCGAGTGCGCACGGGCCACGCCTTGGGCTGGGCTCTGCATCTGGGCACAGGACAGAGCAAGCACCTTTCCTGCCCTGCGGGGGCCTCCCCTCCAGCAGTGACACAGGGATGCCCACAAAACCACCCAGAGAGGGCCACCCTCAGACCAGGGGACAGCAGGACCCCTGTCTTGTGTCCTCCTGCAGCTCAGGGAACGAGTGGGCCCTGGGAGGGCTGCCTGTGAAAACAGACAGCAGTGCCAGATGTTCCACCTGGAACGTCTCAATGACCCTAAATGGCAACTTGGTCTCATTAGAGGTGGCCTCCAAACGTAATTGTGGGGGGGAAGAATGAACCTTTTCTTTAGAAAATGAGCAGTGAAAGTGTTTCACAGTACAAGTGATGCCTTCTGGGCCATCCTGAGGATCTCACCCTTCCCGTTCGATCCCAAAGAAGCCTGAGACAGCGTGGCAGAAGGTGGAGTACCTCCTGGAGTTCAGCCAGTGGCTCTACCACAGACACTTTCCTCTTGAGGACGTGGTCTTCCACCTCCGCTGGGCCATCGAGATCATGCTGGCCATGAAGCCGCCTGGTGACAGCCCTGAACCAGAGCCCACGCCGGATGGTAGGTCCACACCGCGGCCAGAGCCCACGCCGGATGGTAGGTCCACACCACGGCCAGAGCCCACGCCGGATGGTAGGTCCACACCGCGGCCAGAGCCCACGCCGGATGGTAGGTCCACACCGCGGCCAGAGCCCACGCCGGATGGTAGGTCCACACCGCGGCCAGAGCCCACGCCGGATGGTAGGTCCACACCGCGGCCAGAGCCCACGCCGGATGGTAGGTCCACACCGCGGCCAGAGCCCACGCCGGATGGTAGGTCCACACCGCGGCCAGAGCCCATGCCGGATGGTAGGTCCACACCGCGGCCCGGGTGCTGACCCCACACTGCCCCCCAGCACTCTCCTCCTGTCCGTAGCCTAAACGGCCTTTAGGTGTCCACATGTCCATGCAGGCTTTGGAGGTCAGGAGCCCCTGGCCCGTCTAAGTAATGCCCTCTGCAGGGGCCCTGAGATACTCAGTCTGACAGCCACCAAATCACCTTTGCAGAGCGGCTCCCTGCAGGTCAGGTGGAAGGCAGGTTCTCAGGCACGTGGCTGGGCCAGCCCAGAGGCCACCTTCCTCAGGACGCCGGGGGAGGGGGAGTCCTGAGCTCCTCAGACCCTGTGGGCACCTTGGCCATCCCCAAATTCCATTCCAACTCGGGGGGGGGCTCCCTTCTCCAGCTGCAGGCCCCTGCTCACAGCAGTGCAGAGGGGTGGGGGTTGCTGGTAAGCGGGGACCTGGGCAGACAATGGAGGCCTCACTGCCATCATCCAGGGCTTAACCATGGCCGGTGCCTGGGCACAAGCCCAGGGTGACCTGCGGCAGAAGCTCTGTGGGGTGCGCAGGTCGCCCCCCCCACACGCACACGCACACGCACAGGCACACATGCACACACAGGGACACAGGCACATGCGCGCACACACACAGGCACACACGCACACACAGGCACACGCACTCACACATGCAAGGCACACACAGGCACACACATGCGCACACAGGCACACATGCACGAACACACAGGCACACGCACACACATGCACAGTGCAACCGACCTGGCGCACTTAACAGCGCTGGCTCTCTCAGGGTCACCCTCCCTGAGGCAGGTCCTAGCCCCCTGTCAGGATGAGGGGGTCCCCCTGCTCAGAACCCCCAGGCCCTCAGGGCCATCTGGGACAGGAGCAGGGCACCCAGGCCAGGTGCAGATTATGAGGCTTCCAGGGCACACAGGGCATGAGGAGAGCCCTCGGGGGCCTGGGGGGCTGGGGCTGGAGCTGGGAGCGGAGCTGCTCCTGGGGGTGAGGGGGTGGCCAAGCTCAGCCTTCTCAGAATCAGTGCGTCACGTAGTTCCTCCCCTGGCTCCCAGCCCTCAGCAGAGAGCAGCGCACAGGGGCCAGTGAGGCAGGGGTCGGAAAGGCGCCAAGCAGCCTCGGGCAGGGGAGGGAGTGGCCCGGGGCCCACAGGTCCATAACCGAGCCTTCTCTCAGCCTCGGGCACCCCATGTTTCAGGGGAGTACGTGCCCATGCAGATGCCCCCACAGAGCCCCGTGTCAGAGACTGGGGAGACGGTGTCCCCGGAGCAGCTGTGCAGTGTGCGGCAGCTGGAGGCGCTGGCCCGCGGGCACATCCTGCTGGCCCTGGTGCTGTCGCCCGGTGCCCAGGGCTACGAGGACTGCTGCCTGGCAGCCTACGCCTTCCTCAGGCGCATCTGGCAGGTGAGGCCTGGCGCAGGCTCCACCGTGTGGGACAGGCCACAGGTTCCGGGAAACTGCAGCGCGTGTTTTAAAGACATCAGAGCCTTTCCCCGTATTTCCTAAAGACCTTTGAGGTGTGAGCAGTTTCTCGCGCGACATCCAGGTTCTTACTCTCCACTGAATGATTCCCATCGTGTAAAATCAAGAAACTCCCGTCTTGGCCCCTGCACCCTCCACATTCCCAGCACTTCCCAAGGGAGAGGCCCGCGTCTGCCTCCAGATCAGCTGGTCCTCCCAGACACTGCCCTGGTGCCCTTGCCAACCACCTAAAACTGCTCCTGCCCGGCTCGCCACACCAAGGCCATAGCAGGCACCTCTGTTGGCATCTAGGGCCCAGAAACCCTGAACTGTCACTGATGGGGCTTCCGGACCCTTCTTTTGTGCCCCACCCCCCATCCCACTCCTCATCCGGCTCCTCCTCCCATCCCTCAGCCCACACCTCCTCCCACCCCTCCCCGTAGGGCCCACCGAGAGCAGCTGTTGGGAGCCGAGGGCCCTCGGGGACCACCCCGTGCGCCTGCCCAGCCTCCCGCAGGCTGCAGCCTAACACGTCGGTGCTGGGCACAGCAGGCCTTTCTTCTGGGTATGACTTTGCCCAGAGGCCCCACAGGGCATCCCAGGATCAACAGACCCACTGCCCAGCCATGTGCAGAGCAGGAAAGGTGGGGAGGCCCCCACCCCATCTTCGGCCCCCCCACCAGCCTCCACCACTGCCAGACCTGGGGCTGTGGGCATCCATGCCTTCATTCTTTGTGACTCTTCTAGGAGAATTGTTCAACGTTACTCTCGTGTTCTTAATCAGAGATCTTGAACTCATTCACCTAAGGAGTGGCGAGTCCTCCCCCAGGGCCAGCCACGCCTGCCCCAGACCCCCAAGTGTGCTAGGGCTGCAAGGGGTCGGCTGGGCCTGCCAAGGAGATGTACCCAGTGTCCTCCCTGCCTGGGAACAGCCCCCACGAGGACCGCTGCCGGGAGGCTGTGGGGTGGCCAGCAGGAAGCCCCAGGGCCCAGGGTGTCCTGCTGTGTCCCCGGCAGTTGAGTGAGGCAGCCCCCAGTGGCCATGCCCCGGGCCAGCCCCGCTTTCCTGACAGCAGCTGATGGGGGGACGCAAGGTTACCAGAGCACTAGAGTCCAGGGACCCCCACGGGTCTGGGCGTCCCTCATCCAGGAGTGGAGGAGTGGGCGGAGTAGGCCGCGGGTCAGTTTTCAGTGCTGCAAATGTGGATTTCATGCCCCCCCGGCAGGTTTCCTTGACAACAGCCGGAAAATCAGTTACAGACAGCAGACCCCTGGCAGCAACCAGCTCACGTCTGTCATTGCCTAAAAAAGAGAAGGAGAAGGAGAAGGGAAAGGAAGAGAAAGTCAAGGAGGCCAAACAGGTGACACCCAGGCGGCCACGGTGCAGTGCAGGGCTGGGCCGGGGATGGCCTGTGCCTCAGTTTCCCCACCTGTCAGGGTTCTTGGAGGAGCACCAGACGGCCGCGGTTCAGGGCCAAGCCGGGGATGGTCTGTGCCTCAGTTTACCTGCCTGTCAGGGTTCTCGGAGAAGCCCCAGGTTGTCTCAGTGCAGGGGCTGGGCCGGGGAAGGCCTGTGCCTCAGTTTCCCTGCCTGTCAGCGTTCTCAGAGGAGCTCAGGTGGTCTCAATGCAGGGGCTGGGCCCAGGCCGGCATCTGTGCCTCAGTTTCTCTCCCCCATCAGGGTTCTTGGAGGACAGTGCAAGGGCATGTCTGTTAAGCACCCCGGCTTGATCCTGGTGGGAATCCTGGATCTAGAGCCACGTAACACATGCAGTTTGCACAAAGGACATTGCCCCAGGTCCACCAGGCCCAGAGGCCGTGGTGTGTTGGGGGCTGGGTTCCAGAACAGTGAGAAGAGTGTTTTTTCATCGTGTGAAACCTTTCCCTCTGTAAGTATCCACTTCTCCAAGGTCTGAGAAACCACTTGGCTGCCCAGCTTCCCGAAGCGGGATGCTCACACCTGCACCCTGGCATGAGCACTGCTGAGCTCACCAGTCAGCTGCCATTGAGGCGAGATGCAGGAGGCAGAGGCTGCAGAGCCTTAGCTCTCGGGGGTCCTGAGCCGGGGCACCCCCAGGCCAACTCTGGATGTGCACGGGGCAGAAAGCTTTGCGTGCACTGCCTGCAGATAGTGTCGGAGGCTGGGTCTGGGCGCTCGCTGTCTGCTGGTGGGAGGACACCGGCTCCTCAGGCTGTGACCTGCCTGCTGTGCGGCTGTGCCGAGGAGCTCTGCTGTTTGTAAACCACGATTTCGGGTAAATCCTGCATTCTTGCCTTTCCAGTCTCAAAGCCTAGCTGCTAACAAACCACTGGAACATTTGCCCACCAGCATAGAAGAGTGGGCTTGCTTCTCCTGCCCCGAGGAAGTGCTGTCTGTACTGAAACAGGACAAAAGCGACTCCACTGTTAACACCGAAAGTATCCAGAAGCCGGTACTTTGACATAAAGACCAGGCTCACCTTGGTCACAGCATGGCGTCCCCTTGACCTGTCCCCAAGTCCAGCTTCCACTGTGGGCTGTAGCCAGAAAGAGGATACGACAGGGTCCCCTCAGCCCCCAGCCCCACACCAGCCTTCCCGGCACCACTCTCTGCCCCCAGCTGCTGACACCCATGGAAACCCTTCCTTCTTTCCCCACGAGACACGCCAGGATGGTTCTCTGTGTTTGTGGCAACCTCCCACAACCGGGTGGTTAAAAAAGCAGAAATGGGCTGGGCGCAGTGGCGCAGAGCTTAATCCCAGCACTTTGGGAGGCCGAGGTGGGCGGAACATGAGGTTGGGAGATCGAGACCATCCTGGCCAACATGATGAAACCCCGTCTCTACTAAAATACAAAACATTAGCTGGGCGTGGTGGTTCGCACCTGTAGTCCCAGCTACTTGGGAGTCTGAAGCAGGGGAATTGCTTGAACCCAGGAGGTGGAGGTTGCAGTGAGCCAAGATTGCGCCGTTGCACTCTAGCCTGCTGACAGAGCAAGACTCTGTCTCCAAAAAAAAGCAGAAATTGATCCCCTCACAGTTCTGGAGGCCCAGAAACCCAAAATCAGTATCCCTGGGCTCAAACCCAGGTGTGGGGAGGGCTGCACGCCATCCAGGGCCCCGGGGAAGAGTCCCTCATGCCTTATCCCTGTCAGCGTCTGTGGTCACATGGCCTCCTTTTTGTGCGGAGATCTCCTGCTCCCTCCCACTCCCTCCCACGGGATTACATTTAGGGCATACCTGGACTATCCCGGAGACCCTCACCACCTTGGGGTCCTCAGCTTCTCACATCCACACGTCCTTTTTGCCTTTCTGTGGCCATGCACACAGCTCCAGGGACGAGGACTGGGTGTCCGCCAGGTCTCCATGCCTTGCTTGAGTGGATTCTTTTTGGCGAGCATCCTTCAGCCGGGACTCTGTCTGTGGCTCTGTCCCCATGGTTTGTTTTGTGCATTGCTATGGGTCCATTGCGTGGACAGGCACAGTCTGTCTGTGTTTCATGCATTGCTGTGGATGACCCATTGTGTGGACAGGCCACGGTCTGTGTGTTTCATGCATTGCGGTGGGTGACCCATTGTGTGGACAGGCCACGGTCTGTGTGTTTCATGCATTGCTGTGGGTGACCCATTGTGTGGACAGGCCACGGTCTGTGTGTTTCATGCATTGCTGTGGGTGACCCATTGTGTGGACAGGCCACGGTCTGTGTGTTTCATGAATTGTTTTCTTGTTATTGTTGTTAAGCTCTTAATAACTTTAGTAATTTGTCTGTAGATTATTTTGGATTTTGTGTGTAAGTCATTTTACCTGCAAACAGGTTTTTCTTTTCAACTTTCCATTCTTTACACTGGTTTTTTCTTTACCTTATCTTGTATTCTGGCAAGGACCTCCCGCATGAGGTTGAATTAACACAGTGATACCATCCACTTCCGTCTTGCTCCCTATGGCAAAGGAAGGTCATCAACATTTTACTGTCAAGTGTAACTGATGTTTGTTGTGGGCTTGTGAGGAAGACGAGGTTTTTTGTTTGTTTTTTTTTTGAGATGGAGTTTCGCTCTTGTTACCTAGGCTGGAGTGCAATGGCGCGATCTCGGCTCACCACAACCTCCGCCTCCTGGGTTCAGGCAATTCTCCTGCCTCAGCCTCCTGAGTAGCTGGGATTATAGGCACGGGCCACCACGCCCAGCTAATTTTTTGTATTTTTAGTAGAGACGGGGTTTCACCATGTTGACCAGGATGGTCTTGATCTCTTGACCAAAGACAAGGTTTAATTTTCCTTTCGTGTGTGTCCTCAGGCTGTGGTAAAAGTAATGCTGGCCTTTTAGTCAGTTAGAAAGTGTTCCTTTCTGACCATTCTTAAGGGGAGTTTATATAAGATTGGTGGTTATTTCATCCTTGAAAGTTTGGAAGAATTCCCTGGTGAAGCCGTCTGAGCCCAGAGCTTCCGTTTGGGAAGCTTTTAAATGATGGAACCAGTGTGTGCCATAGTTATAGAATTCTTCGGAGCTTCTGTTTCTTCTTGTCATGAAGTTGTTCTCAGTGTCCTTGCATTACCTTTTAATGCCTGTGGGATCTGTAGAGATCCCTGTCACTCCTCGCTCGCTCTCCCGATCAGCCTCTCTGGGACGGATCCATTCCATCAACCTCTCAAATTCCATCAGCCCCTCAAAGCACCCCTGTGCTTTCCAGGCTGCCCACGGCCCCTCTGCCTGGCCGTCGTCCCTGAGGGGACGGCCGCCTCCTAGAATGCCTTGAATTCTAAGGTGCAGCCCTTCGGGAATCCAGCCTGAAAGAGAGAGAGCAGAGCTCTTGGTGGGCCCCGAACCCAGCTTTCTGAGCCCAGCCTGCAGCACCATCTGGAGCACCACGTGGCCCTCAGCCGCCTCGGTGCCTGACGGCCAGGCTCGCGTCCTGGATGCATGCTGTCTTCCAGATCTTGGCCCGGTCATTCTTTGGACATTGATTAACCCCCAGTTCTTGGATTTTTGCAACAGGGTCGTCCAGCTTTCCTAATGTCCCACTCAAGAGTAATTGTTTTAACAAACCGAGTCCAACATCATGGGAAGCATTAGCTCTTCTGCATATATTAAGTTTTTAAGTGGTTGTGTGTACACAGAAGAAATCCTGTTTCTAATGAGTCAGTAGTTTTCAGTAGAAAAGTGAAACAAACACATAAATTTGAATAAATACAGGAATGAGTATGTTTCTTATGAGGATCTTCATAGTTGGGTGCTGATGTTCACAAAAATTATCACGTGTGATAAAATGAAACCCGTGAGTGGAGGAAGGAAGAAGGGTAGCACACCCTCCATCCATCCCACAGACCCGCTCTGAGCACCTGCTGTGTGCGGACACGTGCTGGCGCAGGGAGGGAGGGAGGTTTCTGAAGAAAGACCCTTATGCTTGTGGTCTGCAGCTGCTCCCGTGACCTCATACGTGTGTCATCTGTCCATGTAGACGTACAGTCTGTATTTCCTGGACCACCTGGTCAAGGCCCTGCAGAAGATGTGCCTGCACGAGCTCGCGGTCCCCATCCTGCAGCTGGGGGTGCTGATTTCGGAGTCCGTGGTGGAAAGCAAGGGCCTGGCGGATCTCTACCGCCTTCGGTGGGTACAGCTGCTTTCTATTCCTGAGTGTGATTTCTCCAAAGCAATACGAAAATGAACAACATGTTAAAATATTAATTATGTCATTGTCTGTGCAATAATCAGGTCCCTGGAACTTGGACACCAAGTAAATAAAAATGTTTGTCTATAAAAATGGTATTTTTGGTTGGGACGAGAGGACTGTTTGATCCCAGGAGTTTGAGACCGGCCTGGGCAATGTAGCAAGACACTATTTCTACAAAAAATTTAAAAATATATTAGCCAGGTATGGTGACACACACCTGTTGTCCCAGCTACTCGGGAGGCCGAGGCAAGAGGATCACCTGAGCTGAAAGAGTCGAGGCTGCGGTGAGCTCTGATCGTGCCACTGCGCTCCAGCCTGGGCAACACAGCATGACCCTGTTGCTAACAATCTTTCAAACAAAATACGATGTTTTTATTTTAAAATTTATCCCTGATCCTTAAGAGAATGTTCTTGTTTTAAGGGTGTATCTTGGAGATACTGCAGGTTGGCTTTCCAGTGTATATAAAAGTTGTGTTTACACTATTCTGTCATCTGTCAAGTGTGCAACAGCATTATGTCTAAAAAATGTACCTGTATTCATTTAAAATGTATGTACTAAAAGTGCTAAAAAGCCTAGCAGTTTCTTAAAATGAGACAACAATGAAATGTGCCCCATTGCTCAACTCTTTCACAAAAGGTTTCTCTGTCGCAGGCAATGCTGTTTGACGGAATTTCACCCACGGTAGAAGGTATTTCAAAATTGCAGTCAGTCTCTTAGATGCTTCAGCCACGTGATCAGCTCAATCCATGGAATATTCTAGGCCCTTTGTTGTCACTTCCACGGTGTTCACCAGGAGCAGGTCCCATCCCAAGAAACCGCTTTCTCTGCTCTTCCGTAAGAGGCAATCGGGTTTTCTCTTCAGATGGCGCAGATCAGTCCATCTTCAGGCCCCACTTCTGATTCTAGTCCTCCTGCTGCTTCCCCCCATCTCTGGCTTCTTCTACTGAAACCTTGAACCCTTCAAAGTCATCCCCGAGCGCTGGATGAAGTCATCCACTTCTTCCAAATTCCTGTTAATGTTGCAGTTTTGGCCTCCTCCCATGAATCAGGAATGTTTTTAATGGGATCTAGAATGGTGAATCCTTTCCAGAAGGTTTTCAATTCACTTTGCCCTGATCCATCAGAAGAATCACTCTTGGTGGCAGCTATAACTTTATTAAATGTGCTTCTTAAATAGTAAGACTTAAAAAGTGGAAATGACGCCTTGGTCCAGGCTGCAGAATGGATGTGGTGTTAGCAGGTGCAGGGAGAGCATTCATCTCCTTGTGCATCTCTATGAGAGCTCTTGGGTGGCCGGAGCATTGCCCCTGAGCAGTCCTATTCTGAAAGGAATCTGTGTTTCTGAGCAGTAGGTCTCAACAGTGGGCTTTAAGTATTCAGCAAATCACGCTGTCAGCAGACGTGCTGTCGCCCAGGCCTTGCTGTTCCACTTACAGAGCAGAGGCAGAGTCGATTTAGCATCATTCTTAAAGGCCCTAGGATTTTCAGAATGGTGAATGAGGACTGGCTTCAGCTGAAAGTCCCCGGCTGTGCTGACCCCTAACAAGACAGTGGGCCTCTGCTCGGAAGCTTTGAAGCCAGGCATTGACTTCTGTCCAGTCATGGAAGTCCTGGCTGGCATCTTCTTGCAGTAGAAGGCTGTACAGTCTACAGTGAAAAGCTGTGGATTAGCATAGCCACCCTCAGTGCTCTGATGAGCTACATCTTCCAGCTAACCTGCTTCAGCCTCTCCATCAGCACTTGCTGGTCCACCTGGCACTTTTTTGTTTTTTTTGTTATTAAAATATACGGGCATTTTTATTTTTTTAATTTCTTTTTTGTGCAATCATAGATTTTTATTCTTCTGGGTACATGTATCTTTGCATGTGAGGTGGGTTTCCTGGATACAGCACACCAATGGATTTTGGCTTTTTATCCAATTTGCCAGTCTGTGTCTTTTGATTCGTGCATTTAGCCCATTTACATTTGGGGTTAATATTGTTATGTGTGAATTTGATCCTGCCATTTTGATGCTAGCTGGCTGTTTTGCTTGTTAGTTGATGCAGATTCTTCATTTTGTTGATGCTCTTTACCATTTGGTATGTTTTTGGAGTGGTTGGTACTGGTTGTTCCTTTCTATGTTTGGGTGCCTCTTTCAGGAGCTCTTGTAAAGCAGGGCTGGTGGTAACAAAATCTCTGAGTACTTGCTTGTTTGCAAAGGATTTTATTTTTCCTTCACTTAATGAAGCTTAGTTTGGCTGGATATGAAATTCTGGGTTGAAAGTTCTTTTCTTTAAGGATGTTGAATATTGGCCCCCACTCTCTTCTGTCTTGTAGGGTTTTTCCTGAGAGATCTGCTGTGAGTCTGATGGGCTTCCCTTTGTGGGTAATCTGACCTTTCTCTCTGGCTGCCCTTAGTATTTTCTCCTTCATTTCAACCCTGGTGAATCTGAAGATTATGTGCCTTGGGGTTGCTCTTCTTGAGGAATATCTTTGTGGTGTTCTCTGTATTTCCTGGACTTGAATATTGGCCTGCCTTGCTAGGTTGGGGAAATTTTCCTGGATAATATCCTGAAGAGTATTTTCCAGCTTGGATTCATTCTCTTCGTCACATTCTGGTACGCCTATCAAACGTAGATTAGGTCTCTTCACATAGTCCCACATTTCTTGGAGACTTTGTTCATTCCTTTTTGCGCTTTTTTCTCTAATCTTGCCTTCTCGTTTGATTTCATTGAGTTGATCTTCAACCTCTGATATCCTTTCTTCTGCTGGTCAATTCGGCTGTCGAAACTTGTGCATGCTTCGCGAAGTTCTCATGTTGTGTTTTTCAGCTCCATCAATTCACTCATATTCCTCTCTAAGTTATCCATTTTTGTTATCATTTCTTCAAATCTTTTTTCAAGGTTCTTAGTTTCTTTGCATTGGGTTAGAACATGTTCCTTTAACTCACAGAAGTTTCTCATTACCCACCTTCTGAAGTCTGATTCTGTCATTTCATCACACTCATTCTCCATCCAGTCTTCTTTCCTTGCTGGTGAGGAGTTGTGATCCCTTGTAGGAGGAGAGGCATTCTGGTTTCGGGTGTTTTCCTCCTTTTTTGCACTGGTTTCTTCCCATCTTTGTGGATTTATCCACCTGTCATCTGTGTAGTTGCTGATTTTCAGATTGGGTCTCTGAGTGTACGTCCAGATTGTTGATGATGAAGTTATTTCTGTTTGTTAGTTTTCCTTCTAACAGTGTGGCCCCTCTGCTGGAGGACTGCTGAGGTCCACTCCAGGCCCTGTTTGCCTGGGAATCACCTGCAGCAGCTGCAGAACAGTAAGGGTAGCTGCCAGTTTCTTCTTCTGCTTTCTTTGTCCCAGAATGATGCCCGCCCAATGTCAGTCTGATCAGTCCTTTGTGAGGTGGCTCTTTGGATATACAGGGGTCAGGGAGCTGCTTGAGGAGACAGTCTTTCCTTTATAGGAGCTCAAGTGCTGAGCTGTGAGCTCCGTTGTTCATTCAGAGCTCCTGGGCAAGTACGTTTAAGTCTGCTGCAGCAGAACTCATAAGCCCCTTTTTTTTTCACTGGGTGCTCTGTCCCTGGGAGTTAGGGCTTTATTTATGAGTTTCCATTGTGTTGCTGCCTTTTTTTTTAGGGCTGTCCTGCCCAGCAAGGAGGCAGCCTAGTCACTGTCTGTCTGCAGAGGCTTTGCTGAGCTGCTGTGGGCTCTGCTCTGTTGCCCTGTGAACTTCCCTGCAGTCCTGTTTATATGGGTGTGGTTAGAACTGCCTTGGCAATGGCGGCCCACCTCTGTAATGGCGAACTCTCTCTGTTATGGTGGGTTGCCTCAGCAATGGCAGGCTGCCTCAGCAATGGCGGACTACCTTCATAGGGATGGAGTGCCTCAGTAATGGCAGACGCCCCTCCCCCATAGCTGGACCATCCTGGGTTCAGCTGTGTTTGCCGTGAAATTCTCAATCCCGAGCATTTCCAATTGCTACTTTTTTGTTTTTGTTTTTGTGGGGGTGGGACCTGCTGAGCCTGATCACCTGACTCCCTGCCTCAGAGCCTTTGTTTTTTTTTTTTTTTAAGTTGAACAGTTGACTCTCTCCCAAGTGTTCCAATTACCTGCTGAAAAGGCACTGGGATCTGTGTGATTTCCCGTGCGGCGACCCACTGCGCTGGCTGAAACAATGGCGCTGAGATTCGTGGAATCTCCTGTCCTGACTCCCTGTTTCAGTCCCGTTTAATCAGATGAGTAGGTGAATGTGCCTTCCCGGAGCTCCAATTGCCAGCTTAAAAGGGCAACCAGACCAGTGTATTTTGTACGGAGAACCCCGCGCTGGGGCGCCGGCAAAACAGCCGCGCCGGCCAAAACCGCCGCACTGGCGACCCGTAGGGCTCCTCCGCCTGGGAATCTCTGGTCTGTGGGCAATAAAGATCTGTCTGGAGATGCGGCGTCCACTCACCCTCTGCGCTTTCACTGGGAGCTGCAATCCTCAGCTGTTCCTGAATGGCCATCTTGCTCTGGGATCTCCACCGGGCACTTTTACGTTATGGAGACAGCTCTGTCCTGAAACCTCACAAACCCACCTCTGCCAGCTTCAGACTTTCCTTCTGCAACTTCCTCACGTCTCTCAGCCTTCATCGGATTGAAGAGAGTGAGGGTCTCGCTCCGGATGAGGCTTCAACCTAAAGGAATTTTGTGACTGGTTTGATCTTCTGCGCAGACCAGCGAAACTGCTTCGTATCAGCACTGAGGCTCCTTCGCTTTCTTACCATTTGTATCCGTGTGTTCTCTGAAGGAGCACTTCTAATTTCTTATCAGGACCTTCCCTTTGCGCTTACACCTTGGTTAACCGTTGGGGCCTCGCTCTTGGTCCGTCTCCCTCACTAAACTTAATATCATTTTGGCTTTCTATTTGAAGCGAGAGGCGTGCAACTGTTCCTTTCTCTCGAACACTCAGGCCGTTGTACGGTTACTAACTGGCCTCATTTCAGAATGTCTGTGTCTTGGGGAATAGGGAGGCCCGGGAGAGGGAGAGTGATGGGGGAACGGCGAGCAGTGGGCCAGTCGGAACGCATGGGACATTTATCAACTAAGTTCACCATCTTATATGGGCATGGTTTATGGTGCCGCGAAACAGAGTGGTAACCTCAAAGATCACTGAACGCAGATCGCCGTAACAGAATAATAAGGATGACAAAGTTGGAAATATTTCAAGAATTGCCAAAATGTGACATAGAGATACCAGGCGGCATGTGCTGTTGGAAAATGGTGCTGATGGACTTGGTGGACGGGGGTTGCCCAGGACTTTCAATCCATGAAATAAGGAATGTCTGAGGTGTGCCCGGGCCACGGAAGGACCTGGGGGAAAGGCCACAAGTGGCATCTGCAGCTTGCTCAGTATCCTAGGGGAGGGCGAGGGAGAGGAAGCTAGAGCAGGTGTGGTCATGAGGCACCTCCTGGTGTCTGCAACTTTCCGCTTACCTGAAAGCATTTTACAGGAACAGGGTTTTCAGCAGGCCTGGAGGCTTCTCTGCTTGTGGTGGGTGCTGAGCCTACCTGAGGACAGCATCCAGGCGCCTCACACGAGAGCTGTGGAGGAGCGGGAAAAAATCCTGCCTGAAATGTGATGGAGCTACCTGGCACTTTCCCTCGTAATTTTGCTTACCTTCAAACGTTATTGAAAATATCTTCACAGTACGCCTTGATGTTTTAGTTGACTGTCGAGCACAGTAAGCCCAGCAGCTTCTGTCTCTGGCTCCCTCTGCCCCTGCGCAGAGCTGACTCTCTGGCCACACTCCCCACAGCCTCGCCCACGTGTGCTCCGAGCTGAAGCTGAGGGAGGCAGCGGTGCAGCATGAAGAGGCGATCGGGCAGGTGCACATCAGTGAGCTGGAGCAGGCCAGGTGCGTGCAGTCCCACCCGCGCCGTCTGGGGTTCCAGTCTCACGCTCGGTGCAGTGCCCGGCCTGGTGAAAGCCAGCCACGAGGACGACCAGCGGCCACCCTCTGCCCTGGACTCCTGCCCCTCGGGAGAGGGCGTGTCTGGGGGGCAGTGCCTGGGGAGAGTGAGCGCACGGGGACTCAGCTGTGGCCGGTTCTCCTGGGTCGAGCTGGAAGTGGGCTGTGAGGAGGTGCTCCTCATGGAGGGAAGGAGGGGCGGTGAGGGGCGCTCCCCAGTCTGGCCCAGCCCCTCCCAGGAGGACAGAAAGGTGGGGCATGGGCGCTGGGTGCTGGGGCACTGCTAGGTCAGACCACTGGCGGCTCTGACAGCCTTCAGGCACGAGTTCACTTCAGAGTTGCTGACGCTGACTACCATCATGCTGTTTAACAACTAACTCTTGTTCATATAGCAAATCACCTTAGATCCAGAGACCATCTGAGAAATACATCTGTGCCGTGCTTACATATGGTTCCATTCTGTTCACTTTTACAAGATACTTTTAAATTACATAAGTGATACATGTAACAGTGAAAATCTTAGGACCCGTAGGTAGATAAAAGAAAGAGGAAGATAGAGGTCACGCCGGCCGCGCCTCCCAGCGTGACCGTGTTCATATTTTCACATATGCTCTTCCGGCCATTCCCCGCTGCATAGAAACAGACGGTGTGACTGTGACCAGGGAGTTGAGCTCTCTCTGCTATTTGGCTTACTGCCCTCTGGTGACAAACGCTGGCCTGCGATGTGAACTTCACACTTGTCAGTGCCCTCGGCTGGACGTTGGAACCGTGCCCACCGTCTCCTGGTCTGAGTGACGTGGGGCACCGTCCCAGGAACCTGGCTTTTGGCCCAGTTGTCCGCACAGCCCTAAAACCACCTTGGAGAAGTGGAGCTACAGGGGCCACAGGGTCCCCGTTCCCTCTTGTGCAGAGTCTAGAGCAGCGTGGGGAGGCCAGTGTGGTGGGCTGTGCTGGGAGCAGTGACGTCTCGGTGGCAAGGGGGCCTCACGTGGCTGCGGAGGCCTGGTCGGGGGCGTGCAGGCCCAGGGGCTGGGGCTAGGGCTGGGGCCTGGCACGGTCTTGACCCCTCCTGGCCTATCTTCTAAAGGACCTCTCTGGATGTGGTGTGGCAAATGGCCAGGGCCTGGGGTTCATGGCACAGGAGAAGGCGGGACAGTCAGGGGCTGTGGCCAGGACCAGGTGGAGGGTGAAGGGGAAGGCAGCAGGCACCTTGAAGACCCCGCAGGAAGGCTGAGCAGAGGAGCAGGAGCCCCCCCAGGGACCTGCAGTTGCTACCGAGCTTTCAGACGGGGGCGCCCGCAGGAGGCACAGTGGGCGGGGCTGGGCGTGCTGGCCTGGAGAGATGGAGTCCCAGATGCTCATGAAGCACCTGTGAGGCTGTCAAACAGCAGCTGGACCTGAGTTCAGAGTTTGGAAGAGAGAACCAGTGAGGGACTTAAATTCGGGAGTCAGATGTGCCGTCAGATCCTGAGGATTTAAAAGAATCTCTGTGAACATTCGCGTGAAGAATGTAATTGTCACTGTTGTCATTTGCATTTCTCTGATTACTGAAGTGACAGTTTCGTGGCCACGTGGCTTTTCCTTTGCATATCGTCTGTTTTACTCACATTAGCTGCAGAAAAGAGATCGCATTGAAAAAAGAGAAAAACAAGGAGCCCTTATTAGAAGAAAGCCTGCCAGCACTCAGCGAGCAGACGCTTGCTGCCCGTTCTGTGGAGATCAAACCACTGGAAGCCAAGGACAAGGTAACCTCACCATCCAGAATCCTGACCTGCCAGGCGCCAGTGCCTCGTGACTGTGCAGGCTGCAGCTGAGCCAGGAGGCAGCCCAGGTGTCAGTGTTCGAGGGGCTTCCTGCAAGCGGTTTCTCTCCCGTGGGCCCTGGAATTCCCCCGGGAAAGACGAGCTTTCTGTGCACCGCAGGCCTCCCTGGAACACGCCTGCCAGGCACCTGAGCAGAGGCAGAGAGAAGGTGGGGCAGGCGAAGAGGGGTCTCTGCCTGGAGGTCCCCGTCATCTGACAGAACTGGTTCTCCTCCCTGTGCCACCTGGGCTTCCCACCCCCCAGTGGCAGAGCACAGCACCCTTTTGGGTTTGCCCGTGAAGAAAGGTGACCAGCCCGGCTCCTAACCCTAAACGCAGTTACCATGGGAGCCCCACTGAGGAGCAAAGGCCATGCTTCCTGTGACCTGGCAGGCAGGACGGGGGCTCAGCATGGGACCTGCATCCACAGCACAGCAGAGCTGGCTTAGCCACCACCCCAGGCTTCAAGGGCAGCCTCTGACTAGGGAGGAGGGGGCGTGGGGCAGGCCTAGATCCCAGGGCAGGGGCTCAGCCACTGGCCCATTCCCCGGGGCACCTTAGCAAGGCCCGGTGCGGGGCCACAGGGCAGGCCTAGATGGCAGGTTGGTTGGCAGTCCAAGGTGGGCTCAGGCTCCTACACCCTGATATGGGTGTGTGGAGTCTGGAAGCCTCTGCGTGGCTGCTGGTGGGCTCGGTTGGCTTCGAGGGATTTCTGAGAAGAGAGGGGTGCATAGGGCATGGGAGGTCTGTGGGAGGAGATGGCAGAGGCCTGAGCTGTGGCCTCGGGGTTCACAGGGAGGTTGGGAGGCACCCACAATGCGGTACAGACCCCCTCAGAGGTCACAGGTGTCGGGACTGGGCTGCTTGGGGCTGCCGTGTCTTACAGATTTTGAAGATGAATGGGGAGACTGGAAGAGGCCTTGATGGGACGTCCTATCCCCAGCTGTGGATTCTGAAGGCAGAGGTTCTGCTGGAGATGAGCCTGTACCAGCCTGCACGGCTGCTCCTGTCCGAGGCTCACCTGGCTTTCCAGGTAAGGGGCCCCTCCCAGCACACCGTGCACAGCGGAAGGGCTGCGGGTGGGAGCTTGCACTGCGGTGTTCGGTTCCAGGAAGCCCACCTGCCTCCCTGGCCTGGGTCCCACGCGTCCTCTGTCTGTCGGTCTGTCTTTTGCTCTTCGACTCACGGTTTGCGAAAGTTTCTATTTCCAGTACCTGCTGCGGGTCTCTGTGACCTCGTTTCTCTCCGGTGTCCTTGGCTCAGCCCCGCCTCCTGCCAGTCAGTTTCTTACCTTCTGAGGCTGGACGAGAACTTGGAGAACCCCAGAGGGTGTCAGTGCCAAAAGCACCACTTTGTTCTAGAAGGCGGATCGTGCGCGGGGCCGCCTGGGTCCAGGGCTCGGGGCCTGGTCTGGTCTTCGTTTGTTTTGCTCTCACTCTGGATGCGACCCTTACTGTCCCCACCGAAAGCCCCGGGTCGTCTGCCGAGGCCCCGCCTTGTGGGTGCTGCAGCTGTTCTGCCTCAGCAGGTTCCCGCCTGGCTTTGTGAAATCCTGCTCTGCCATGAGCAGCCCAGCCCAGCGCACAGCCCCCAGGGGAGTGCGGACCTCCGGCCCTTCGCCTGCGGCCCTCCTCCTGGGACAGGCCCTGCCCCAGCTCCAGCCTCCTCTCCTCACCTGCCGCGCTCCTGCTTTCTCCAGGTTCATCCCTCCACAGGGATGGCAGCCCCAGGAGAAAGCCAGGGTGGATGGAGGCCCATGGGTGCTTCTGTCTGTGCCGACTGTAGTCACACAGGCCCAGCACCTGGGCGGAAATGGGGCGTTCTGGTACGGTTCCACCCTGACCCTGGCGGAGTTCTTGTCGGCACTGACTGCCCTCCAAACCCACCTTCAGAAACATGGTGACATCTTGTGTCCAGATTTTAGAGTTGCTTTCACTGGGAGGGCGAGGCAGAGCTGTAGAACCAGACAGCCTGTCCCTTTTCCTGAAGAAGAATTCCAGAAAAAGAGAAGAACCTAGAATGGTATAAAAATTCAGTGATGCCCATCAAAGCCTTGAGAGGTTCAGACTATCTCTGGCACTGAGGGCAGGCGTGCACAGGTCTCAGGCACTGAGGGTAGGCGTGCGCAGGTCTCAGCCACTGAGGGCAGGTGTGTGCAGGTCTTTGACAGCAGAGATGGGTGTGTACACACCAGAGTCAAGATTGAGCTTGTCCGAGGAAGGGCCTGAGAACACCCTGGACAGCTGGGGAAGGGATTCTGGTGGGTGTAGTGTTCTTTTGACCACATCCACAGTAGAGGGCCAGCCTCTGCTGGGACCAGAGGGAGCTGAGGTGTGGAAGAGCTCCTGGGAGCTCACTCTGCTTCTCAGCCACATCCACACTGCAGAAAGTCTGCCTTCGTGCACTGCCCTCCCCTCCAGCCCCACTTCACCCTTGGCCAGTGCAGCCCAGCTACCCCCAAGCACCTGAACCTGCTCCCGCAGCCTGCGATGGGAGTGCGTAGGCCGCACTCTGCCCTTGCCGCCCTGGTCCCACCTCCATGGGGCTCTCTCCTTCCTGCTGGTGGCACCCCTCCCTCATGCTCTCTGGCTCCCTGCTCCCTCTCAGGCTCACCCACCTGGTGTTCTTGTCTCTTGGGGGTCCAACCCCACCCCGGGCTCTCCCTCTGTGGCCTCAGCACTCAGACCCCTGCTGACCTCAGAGGCCTCTGGGATGGGAACATCTGCCCCAGGGGCTATGACTGTCCCGTGCTGTCCACTCCTCAGGACAGGGCTCTGCCCCTCCCACTCAGGTGTCGGCACCAAAGCCCAGCATCATGCTCACCCTCAGGCCCCACGTCCCACCCACCCTGTCCTCTCCCAGCCCCAACCAAGCCTGTCCCACCTCCGCACTCTCCTCTTCATGTGGAAGCTTCCGCCAGCCCTGTCTCCAGCCACAGGCCCACTGCAGCTGACCTGACCAGGCCCTGCCAGTGACCGGCCCTGTGGGCCCTTGCTGGGCCTGCTCTCTGGGCCCAGCCACACAGGGCCTCCCCTCTTCCAGGCTTGGCCAGGCCAGGAATGCCCTTCCACAGAGCCCAGCCACCCACCTGCCTACCCTCAGGCCACCTGACTGCCCACAAAGCTGCTACAGACTCAGGTCCTGCCCATGCCATCTCTGGTGGTCACAGCCTTGCCCTGGTGCATGCAGGCTCCCTGGTGGCCATGGCCCCTCTCTCTTCCTGAATGTATGGGCATCTTAAATGCATGGCACCCTCAGCAGCTGGCATACCTGCTCGCTGGCAGGCAGCCCCAGCTCGTCAGCCACCCTCCCCTCGTCCCTGCACTGCTCCTGGGAGGGGCCTCTCAGGTCCAAATGAGCACACGGGGCACCTTGTTTGGAAAGTGATGCCTGGGACAGGACGCTGCCTTCTCCCACCACTGCTCCCATCCTCACCTCGCCCTCTGACCAGCACCCCTCTCTTAGCACATGCTGCCCTGTGTTTCACCCCAGATTGTGTGGCAGCCCAGCCCCCTGGCAGCAGGCCCCGGATGGGCTGGCTGGGCTCTAGGAGCCTCTGAGCGCTCCGGGCATCAATGTCCAGGTGCGATTGCCCCAAAGCCTTTTGCCCCAAGCAGGAGCTCCTTGAAGATGGGGCCAGGACAGGGCCACCAGGAGCCCAGGAGGCTCCAGGGACGAAGCTTCCTGCCACCCAGGGGTATGGGGAGGCAAATCCCCCTGAAGACGAGCCAGGTGGGGCAGCGCCTCAGTAACGCTCATTCTGCTGTCAGCTCATCATTGAAATATAATTAAACGGAACTCGATGCACTCACGAACTGCCGCAGGTGCTGACTCTGGCCTCCGGAGAAGCACCTGGAGTACAGGAACGTGGGAGGGCAGGGAGGATGGGTGTCCCACCAGAGGAGCCGCAGCTGGGGAGCTTGAGGGCAGACGTGGGCCCCACCCTTCTGCTGCCAGAGCGGCCCTGCCTCCCCCTCACCCGATGCCTCTGTCTCCCTCTTCCTTCTCTCTGGCTGCCCCTGTCTCCCTGCCTGCACACGCCTGTGGAGGAACCCACGCTCCTCTGAGTCTCTCTCCTTCAGGAGCTGGATGAGCCTTGTGCAGAGGCCCAGTGCCTGTTCCTTCTGGCACAGCTGGCCAACAGGGAGAAGAAGTATGGACAAGCCAAGAAAATGATCGCACAGGCCCAGCACCTGGGCGGAAATGAGGAGTTCTGGTACAGTTCCACGCTGACCCTGGCAGACACGCTCTTGTCCACGGAACACTCAAGACGAGAAGCCACGGTGAGAGGCCCGGGGACCAGGGGCCACGTGTCAGGCACTGGGCAAGGTACTCGGTGGAGGGGAGGGGCATCCGCGGAGCTCTGCCGGACAGACTGCTGACAACACACCCGTCTCCGCCCACCCGCCCTCAGGTGTGCCACATGTTTCAGAAGCTCACCACTGCCTTCGAGATTCTCAAGAAAGAAAGACCAAACCGAACGCCGTTGTTGGAATTCATGATCACAGACCTAGAAGCCAGGTAACATTTTGTGAGAAACACTCCGTTCACGTGAACACTGGTTTCCTCTTTTCCATCTGTGGTGTTTGTGCCATAGGCCAAGCCTGTGCAAGTTCAGAGATCCACATAATGGGCCCACATACTCACAGAGACCCATGTAATGGGGCCACATACCCACAGAAACCCACATAATGGGGCCACATACTCACAGAGACCCACGTAATGGGCCATATACTCACAGAGACCCATGTAATGGGGCCACATACAGAGACCCATGTAGTGGGGCCACATACTCACAGAGACCCACATAATGAGCCACATACTCACAGAGACCCACGTAATGGGGCCACATAGTCATAGCTTTCTGTGCAGCTCCAGAAAGCTCCAGAAGTTTCCTGAGCTGCTTCAGGGTTTCTCTGAGAAACGGACCTTCCATCCCATCTGTTTGGCTTAGAAAGGCAGATTTAGGGCCTTGGGAAGGACCTAAGAAACCTATTCCTCCAAGTCTGTGTGTGTCTATACATTTGTAGAGCATGTGTTCTCCTTCACAAAGCCCTGTCACAGGCACGCCTCCCTCTGTGCCGTTAATCAAAGCCATCTCTTCTTTTCTTTTTGTTTTGAGATAGAATCTCTGTCTGTCACCAGGCTGCATTGCAGTGGCATGATCTCAGCTCACTGTGACCTCCAACTCCCTGGCTCAAGCGATTCTCCTGCCTCAGCCTCCCGAGTAGCTGAGATTACAGGCACCTGCTACCACACTTGGCTAATTTTTCTGTTTTTAGTAGGACGGGGTTTCGCCATGTTGGCCAGGTTGGCAACGCCGTCTCTTCTAAATTGGAATTGGAAGCTCCAGCACAGTGGACCTTTTCAAGGAGCTGGCCTTGCTTTACAGACCCAACAATAGGGACTTTTGTGTGACTCGGGCTTCCTTGCTTCTGCTTCATCTTTGTGGAGCTCTTTCTGCAGCTGCGAGAGGGCTGCCCAGGGCTCTGCTGTGGCTGCTTGGGGCTGGGTGGGGGAGGCCGAGGCCTCGTGGCTGTGCTCTCCACCTGCCTCCTGACCTTGCCCTTTGCCCTGCAGCTGCGATGTGTGGACAGCCCACCACATCAGCATGGGTTTTTGTTCCTTTAGTGGGTCACGTAGGAGAGGGCCTTCAAATTCCCACGTGGATACGGTGCCTGGGTTGGGGCTTGTTAGTTTCTGACTTTATTGCCCATGATCACAGATTGAGGCCTGTACGGTGTCTGATTTTTCAGATGCTAAAAGCACTTCTTCTAGCATCCCTGGGTGAACACCAGGAGAACAGTGGCAGCACAGCTGCGAGTTCCAACACACAGAAGGCCCTGGGGCTTCTGACTCAGGCCTCAAACCGACCCCCACTTCAGGTGCCTGAGCCTGCGGGTCAGAGTTGCACAGGAGGCCGCGGTCACGGAACCCACAGAGTACTCGCTGCTGCTGGAGGAGCTGGATGACAGCTTGTTGGATGTTGAGAGAAGGTTTACCGAGTGTGGTCACAAAGAGAAGTGCGCTGATGTCAAACTAGAGCGTGCGAAGATCAAGACGTAAGGCCGCCTCCGCGCCCCCTGCATGGCAGCCATGGCTTCTCCCACACACATGCCCGGCGCCATCCTGCCTTCGGGGCCTGGCTTACCCCAGCTGCACCCCCTCAGGGTCCACAGGCCCCTCCCCTGGCAAGCTACCAGCTGCCACCTCACCCCCACATTCTGATCACATGCCCAGCCCTCCCCCTGAGAAGCCCCCATTGCCCCTGACAGGGCCTCTTCCTGGCCCCAGCCCTGCAGCTGCCCGCACCTCCCTCAGGGACACCCTCATTGGGCCCTGCTCCTCCAGCCCTCGGCAGACACACACAGACATACAGCACCACCCACCGCAGCAGCCACAGGCACACACTCACTGCACACACACGCCCAGGCCCAGGTCACACGTGCGCGTCCCAGGCACAGCCCTGAGCTTCTTGCAGGCCCTTGGCCTCAGGACTCAGCCCGCCCTGTGTGGCTCTGTAGCCCTGTCCCAAGCCCATCTCAGGGGCCGCACCCACTGAGGGCAGGGCCCGCACAGCCCTGATGCCAGCCACCCCTGCCCTGGCAAAGCTTCCCTCACCCCGTCCACTGCCCTGCCCCCAACCTGGGGCTGCCCCCATGCTTGTCCACACATAAGCATCTCGACACAGTGGGCCCAGTGTGGGCTTTCAGAAGCCTGTGCCAGAAAAGCGCGACCCCCCCCCACAAGGTCTGACCTGAGCCACGTCTGTTACTGTGGATGTGGGACACGTCGTCTAGAACTTCAGTTAGCCAGTCACACCCAGCCAGCTGATTCCAGCTGGTCCTCCTTCCAGTGCGGATGTAATTTTCATAACCACAATATCCTGTACATACTGCGTTATTTCAGCTTCTTAAACCTTTAAGACAAATCGAGAATGTCTTTACAGGTAGGCTATTTTAAGACATCATTTTAAGTACTAATAACATATACAGTATAATTATAGAAGATGACATGTTAAACATTTAGTAATGATAACGTAATGTTTTAACACTTTTGTTCCAAATTCCGTTCTTGTGTCTTATGAAGGTTACGTGCCCAGAACGAGAAAGATGAAGAGCAGAAAACTGCGTATTACTTGGAGGCGTATGTCCTGGCGCAGAGCGCCGTGGCAGAGGAAGAAGGGCGGCTCCAGAGCGTCCAGGCCTTGCTGTCACTTCACAACGTAAGCAGGTGCCCCTGTCCTTGTGCACATTTGCTCACTCCCACCGGCACATACTCCCCACTGTAACTTCCTTACAAGCCAGCTGACTTCTGCTTCTAGCTGAAATAGAGTAACAGGGACCAGATACTCCCCTCGTCTGAAACAGCAAAAAAACAAATGGTATGAAACAAAGACTCTCAGAACGCTTGATGCCAGCAAGGACATCTGGTCCCCGAGTTAAGTCCGAGCTCATCGCGGCTGCTCAGGTGGGGTCCGCTGGTGACCTGAGTCACAGGATGGAGCCAAGAGCCCAGGGAAAGCCAGACACTGCCACTCATGGGACAGAGCCCTGGGGAGGGGGTGGCTACACAGAGAAAAACCCAAGACTTTTGCAGGCCCCAGAGTGTCCTGCTGAGGACTGATCAGTACGTCCTTGAGAGGAAGCTACTCCCTGCTGGGAAAGAACCACCCAAAAGGGTTCTAGGAAGCAGGATGGGAACAGCACCGGCTCCACCAGCCAGATTGGAAAACCTCATGATCCCTGGGGCATCTGGCAGAGTAGACACAGGGCCTTGCCTCAGTCCGGGGTACACAGGCCTGGGCGAGCCCTGCTCCAGACCTGCCAAGAGACCCTAAGAACAAGACCTGAAAGGACCTATTTCCTTTGGGAGCATAACTGTCTCGGATTGGAGCCCAAGCCTGAAGAGGAATGCAGAAACGCTCACCAGACCCCTAAGGAAAACAATGCCCAAATGTCAGGCAAACCAATAAAAACCTGCTGTATAGAAAAGCAGGAAAACCTGACTCATAATGGGGGAATAATTGATCAATCAGAAGGAAACCAATCAATGGGCACAGATAGTAGAACTGGAAGGCAAGTTATTATAACTCTATTCTATATGTTCAGAAAGTTAAGTAGTAATGTTGAAGATATAAAAGGAAGACAAAAACCAAACTTTCAAGGTGAAAACTGCAACACGGGAGATGAAGAAGGCACCAGGTGGGGTGAATGACAGCAGTGGCAGAAGAAAAGTTCGGAGAACTTAGAGACATAGCAACAGAAAATTTTAAAAATGAAGAGATAATGAAATTTAAGAGAGCAAAAATTAAAGTTAACAGACAATGAGCCAAGGAACAGTTTTAAGTGCACAAATCCAGGTGTAACTGGAATCCTGGGAGAAGAGGGGTAGAATACACAGAATAGTTTGAATAATGACTGAAAACTTTCCAGATTTGGTAAAAATAAATACAAACTCACAGATCCAAGAAGCTGAATGAATCTCAAGCACGAGAACTGTAAAGAGGAATAAAACCATATCAAGGCACACTGTAACCAAATGGTTTTACCCCCGTGATACGAAGAGCATCTGAGCATCGGCCAGAGAGCACTGCTTGTATATGTGCAGAGCAACAGAGGTGGATGGCACAGCTTCCCGCAGAAGCATTGTAGCTGAGAGCCCAGCACAGGGACCTCTGTGAGGCCAAGGGGAAACACTGCCAACCTGGAATTCCATACCCAGAAAATATGATTGTTAGTGAAGGTGAGATGAAGATGTTTCTCCAAACACTCAAAAGCTAAAGGACTGTGTCCTTGGTGGCTTTGCCCTGCAGGAGCTCTTGGAGTCAGTCCTGCTGTCAGAAGGAAGCCACGCCTACTGGAAGTGTGGCTCCACGCAGGTGCATGGAGAGCCTCAAACACATAAACTGCAGGGGAAAGTGTACCCAACGTTTCTTATGCTAAAGGTCACTCTAAAAGATAATTGGCTGCTTAAACAATACTAACAATGTACCACAGAGTCGATAACCTGTGAAAATGCAATGTTTCTACACTCTGCTTGAAAGGATATCATACACTCTAAACAGCCACGCAGCCACAGAAATACCAGAATACAGATTTATGCTGTGTAAGTGGAGAAAGGAGGTAAATGGGAATCCTAACAAGTATATCCCACATGAAAGCAGAAAAAAGAAAGAGAATAAAGAAGAGGTGAGACAAACAAAATAAACAGCAAGATGATAACCTTAAACCTCACCTTATGAATAATCACACAAAATTTAAATAACAAAATACCCTCACTTAAAAGAATTTGTCAGATTATATAAAAAAGCAAAACCTGAATAATCACATGAAATTTAAATAACAAAACACCCTCCGTTAAAAGAACTTGTCAGATTATATAAAAAAGCAAAACCCACGCATGGGCTACCTACAATAAAGCCACTTTAAATATAAAGACATAACTAGGTTAAAAGTGGAAGAATGAGGCCGGGCGCGGTGGCTCAAGCCTGTAATCCCAGCACTTTGGGAGGCTGAGGCAGGTGGATCATGAGGTCAAGAGATCGAGACCATCCTGGTCAACATGGTGAAACCCCGTCTCTACTAAAAATTACAAAAAAAATTAGCTGGACACGGTAGCGCGTGCCTGTAATCCCAGCCACTCAGGAGACTGAGGCAGGAGAATTGCCTGAACCCAGGGAGTAGAGGTTGCGTTGAGCCGAGATCGCGCCATTGCACTCCAGCCTGGGTAACGAGCGAAACTCCGTCTCAAAAAAAAAAAAAAAAAAAAAAAGTGGAAGAATGGAAAAGCATATATACCATGCTAACATGGATCAAAAGAAAACTGGGGGGCCTATGCTAACATCACACACAGCCGATTTCAGAAAACAGAACCTTATCAAGGATAAAGAAGCTTCCTTTATAGTGCAAAGGGCTCCACCAGTCAAGAGGATATAAGTCCAGACATTTCTGTACCTAACAACAGAGTCTCAGAATCAATGAAAGTAAACTGATAAAACTGCCGTGGAGAAATAGACAACTTTACAATTACAGTCGGGTGTCGGCACCTCTCTCACGGTGTTAATAGAACAAGTAGCCAGAAAATCAGCACGTCACTGCCAACCACTATGACCTAAAGATGTTTATAAAATGTTCACCCAGCAGCAGCAGAATGAGATGTTCTTCACGGCACGTGACATGTTTCAAGATAGACCACATTCTGGACCATAAAACAAGTCTCGATAAATTTAAAAGATTTAAGTCACGCAAAATGTGTACTGGTGACACAATATAATTAAATTAGAAATGAGAAACAAAGGTAAATCCATGGAAACAGGGCAAGGGGGATGAGGGATGGTTTGTTAGTTGGAGTGATGAAAATGTTTCGGAATTAGAGATGCTGGCGGCACAGTGTTGTGAATGTAAATACCACTGAATTGTATGTTTTTAAATGGTTAATTTTATGTGAATTTTACCTCAATTAAAAAAAAATAAAACAGAAAACTATGTATGTGGGAAACACCAAAGATTTGAAAAGTAAATCACAAGCATCACAGTAACTGTGGGCCACAGAAGAAATCAAAAGGGAAAGTACTTTGAACTGAAGGGAATGAAAGAAAAAACAGCTATCAGATGTTTAAGATGTTGCAATGCAATACCGAGGTGGAATTTACAGCACTGAACACCTGCAGGAGAGGTGGGAGAAGATCCAATCGGTCACCTGAGCCTGCGCCTTACAGAAGGACAAGAGCAGGCTAGATTCCCAGACAAGCAGAGGAGCAAAAATGAAAGGTCACAGTGGAATCAGTGACTAGAAAACAGGAAAACTAAAAAGTGATGAAACCAAAGGTAGTGCTTTGAAAAGATCAATAAATTGAAAAACTTCTAGTCAGACGGATCAGAAAAGAAAAAGATGACATAAATTACCACTGTCAGAAATGAGAGACGCAATTTCTCCGTGGATTCTGCAGATATTGAAAGGATGATAAAGGAATAGTATTACAAACAACTTTGTGCTGATATATTTGCCAACTTAGATGAAATGGAAAAACTCCTTGAAAGCATGAACTACCAGAGCCCACTCAAAAAGAAACAGAGAGCCTGAGTAGCACTATATGTATTTTAAAATTTTAATTTGTAATTAAAACATTCTCACAAAGAAAATGTCAAGGCCAGATGGCTTTACTAGTGAATTCTGCCAAATATCAAAGAAAAAAAATACCAGTTCTACACAAATTGTTTTAGAAAATTGAAAAAGAGAGATTACTTCCCAGTTTTTCTGTGAGACAAATATTACCTTGATAACAAAACGACGTAAAGACATTAACGAAACCAAACAACAACAAAGAAAGCTACAGAGCAGCATTCCTCGTGAGCAACGTTCTAGCAGACTAAATCCGACAATATATACAAAGGGTGGTAATCATAAGCAACAGTATATACAAAGGGTGATAATCATAAGCAACAATACATACAAAGGGTGATTATCATAAGCAACAATATATACAAAGGGTGATAATCATAAGTAACAATACATACAAAGGGTGATAATCATAAGTAACAATACATACAAAGGGTGATAATCATAAGCAACAGTATATACAAAGGGTGATAATCATAAGTAACAATACATACAAAGGGTGATAATCATAAGTAACAATACATACAAAGGGTGATAATCATAAGTAACAGTATATACAAAGGGTGATAATCATAAGTAACAATACATACAAAGGGTGATAATCATAAGTAACAATACATACAAAGGGTGATAATCATAAGCAACAATATATACAAAGGGTGATAATCATAAGTAACAATACATACAAAGGGTGATAATCATAAGTAACAATACATACAAAGGGTGATAATCATAAGCAACAGTATATACAAAGGGTGATAATCATAAGTAACAATACATACAAAGGGTGATAATCATAAGTAACAATACATACAAAGGGTGATAATCATAAGCAACAGTATATACAAAGGGTGATAATCATAAGTAACAATACATACAAAGGGTGATAATCATAAGTAACAATACATACAAAGGGTGATAATCATAAGTAACAATACATACAAAGGGTGATAATCATAAGCAACAGTATATACAAAGGGTGATAATCATAAGTAACAATACATACAAAGGGTGATAATCATAAGTAACAATACATACAAAGGGTGATAATCATAAGCAACAGTATATACAAAGGGTGATAATCATAAGTAACAATACATACAAAGGGTGATAATCATAAGCAACAATACATACAAAGGGTGATAATCATAAGTAACAATACATACAAAGGGTGATAATCATAAGCAACAGTATATACAAAGGGTGATAATCATAAGTAACAATACATACAAAGGGTGATAATCATAAGCAACAATACATACAAAGGGTGATAATCATAAGCAACAATACATACAAAGGGTGATAATCATAAGCAACAATACATACAAAGGGTGATAATCATAAGCAACAATACATACAAAGGGTGATAATCATAAGTAACAATACATACAAAGGGTGATAATCATAAGTAACAATACATACAAAGGGTGATAATCATAAGCAACAGTATATACAAAGGGTGATAATCATAAGCAACAATATATACAAAGGGTGATAATCATAAGCAACAATATATACAAAGGGTGATTATCATAAGCAACAATATATACAAAGGGTGATTATCATAAGCAACAATATATACAAAGGGTGATAATCATAAGCAACAATATATACAAAGGGTGATAATCATAAGCAACAATACATACAAAGGGTGATAATCATAAGCAACAATATATACAAAGGGTGATAATCATAAGCAACAATATATACAAAGGGTGGTAATCATAAGCAACAATATATACAAAGGGTGATGCGTCATAAGCAAGCCAAGGTTACCCTGGGAACAGTTTAACATTCAAAAAGTAATTCGCGTCACCATATTTTTTCACAACTAACAGATGAAAACCATATGATCATCTTTGTGAATGCAGGAAAAGCATTTGACAAAATTCAACACCGTTTCTGATAAACACTCCTAGCAACAATTAATAGAGGAAGTCTTCCTCAACCTGATAAAAGACCCCAGCTTTTCTATAGATGTCTTTTTCAGGTTGAGGAAGTCACAATTATGGGAGAAAGACCGGTGCCCCTTTCAATAAGGGTGAAGGCAAGGACGTGCCCTCTTCTCACCTGTGTTCTGTGTTGGCACGGGCGTTCCAGTCTGTGCAAACATGAAGGTGAAAAGGGAATGAAAAGCATCCAGATTGGAAAGGAAGGAATGAAACTGTTTTTTTCCACAGGTAACAGAGTTGTCTGTACACACAGTTGTGTGCAATCTACCAAAAAGTAACGCTACTGAGTGCAGTAAGGTTGCAGGACGTAAGAACAATATGCAGATGTCGGTTGTATATTTCCACATGCTAGAAACAATCAGATATTAACATTTTTAAAACAGGCTGGGCGCGGTGGCTCACACCTGTAATCCCAGCACTTTGGGAGGCCGAGGCAGGAGGATCATGAAGCCAGGAGTTCGAGACCAGCCTGGCCAACATGGTGAAATCCTGTCTCTAAAGATAGAAAAAATTAGCCAGGTGTGGTGGTGCACACCTGTAATCCCAGCTATTGGGAGGCTGAGGCAGGAGAATCACTTGAAACTGGGAGGTAAAGATTGCAGTAAACCAAGATCACGCCACTGTACTCCAGCCTAGGCAATGGGAAGAGACTCTATCTTAAAAAAAAAATTTATGACAGCATTTAAAAATGAAATTTGTCTTAAAAACTGTGAAAAACTTATACTCCGAGAACTGCAAAACATGACGGAGAAAAATTTGAGAAGACCTAAGTAGGTGGAGAAACACGTCTTTGGGTCAGAGGACTTAATATTGCTCAGATGCTGATTCTGCCAGAATTGTCTGTACTCCTGATCAAGGTCACTGCAGGCTCTTTCAGAGAAAATGACAAAATGATTTTAAAACTCATGTGAGACTACAACAGACCTGATGTGGCCAACACAACTTTGAAAAAGATGGAAATTGGAGGTTTGCTGCCACCTGATTTAAGAGCTAGTGCAGCGAGGTCCAGGAGGCAATACGGCGTGGCTTTCGTATAAAGGTACACACGTGGTCAGTGGAACACAGCGGAATCCAGGTGTGGACCCCACACGTCCAGGAAAGTGATCGCCAGCAAAGGCACAGAGCAGCTCGCCAAAGAAAGGATTATGCACCTCCAAAACAACCCTCTTCACTTCTTAGCTCACAGCACCCGTAAAAACCGCCTCCAAAGAGATTATAGACCCAAACACAAGGGCTGAAACTGTAAAGCGTCTAGAAGAACACATAGGAAAACACCTTTGTGACCTCAGGCTTGGCGAGGGTTTCTTACATATGGCATAAAGTGACAAACTGATAACTTGGACCTCCCTTCAAAAGACATTCTGAAGAGAATGACAAGACCAGCCACAGGCAGGAAGAACACACATGTCCTCTATCTGATAAAGAGATTTTATCTAGAATGGATGAAGGTCTCTCCAAAGTTAATTACGACCCAATAAAGCACAAGCAACATATTTTAACAGATGCTTCCCCCACAGAAAATACGTGGGTGGTGAACAAGCACATGAGCAGATGCATACCACGAGTCACTAGGGACACGCGAGGTGTGGCCATCTAAGAACCCACCACACACCTATTAAAACGGCTGCAGACGCATACCACGGGTCACTAGGGACACGCGAGGTGTGGCCATCTAAGAACCACCACACACCCATTAAAACGGCTGCAGTGTGAAAGACCCGCCACACCAGATGTGGGCAAGGCTGTGGAGAGGCGGGCCCTGAACTCCGTGGCTGCCGAGGGAGGTAGCCTGCCCAGGACCCAGCCTCTGCCCTCCGGCGTGTTCACTTGCATATGAAGGTTGGCAGCAGTTTTATCTGTAGTGGCCCCAAACTGGAAATAGAATAGATAAGTGGACGGTGGCACATCCCATGGTGCAGTGACTCTGGCCATGGGGGAGGGGAGCATGCCTGCAGCCTCGAGGGGGAGCCTGACCATGACCCTGCCCAGACGGAAAGACCGCCCACCGTGCACTTCCGCGTAGGTACCGTTCTGGAAAATGCAAACATCGGTGCCAGCACGCAGCTAGATGACTGGGAGGGAGCAGGCGCACAAAGACATTTGGGGGTGAGGGCTCCTGCACTGCCTCCAGGGGCTAATGCTTTCACAGCTGTGTCCATGATCAAAGTGTGTCAGGTTTTGCATCTGTGTAGTTTATTCTGAGTTTATTATGTCAGCTGTGCCTCGTCTAAGCCGTGGGTGTAGATTCAGTCTCACCAAAAGCGTCCGTGCCTCAGATACGTGCCCAACCCCCTCAGGTGCAGAACGTCAACTCGCCTCTGATGAGGAAGCTGGCGCACCTCAAGCTCGACCTGGTGGACATGGCTCTGGGCATGCTCCAGTTCATCTGGAAGGAGGCCCACGGGCAGCAGAGTGAGCAGGGGTCCCTGGAGAAGCTGCTGGCAGAGTATCTGCAGAACACCAGCGACTATACTTCCGTTGGCCTGGTAATTTCGGGGTGCTCTTAGTCACAGGTTCTCTGTGGAGGGGGTGCCGGGCCACAGCGCAGCTAAGGGGCCCCGTTCCAGCAGGAGCCGTCTCCATCGCTGTGGCTCCGGGAATCTGAGTGCCTTCCCTCCGGGGACCTCTAGCAGTGGGGGTCTTGCAGAAGAAGGGCGTTGCCTCGCCATTGGAGGGGACTGAACAGGCTAATAAAATCAAGGTTCCATTATGGGGTGTTTCCTGTATGACCCACAGCTGCCCTTCCCAACTCATGAATTTGCTTGGACTAATTAATTTGTGTCAATAATTGATGTGTATGCGTGTTAAAGAGCACAGGAGAAGTGGTCTCCGTTTTGGTATTAAAAAAAGAAAAGCTGAGTATTAGAATGTTTTGAAGGAAATGTACATTCTTCCTTTTTGCATTTTCTTAGATTTCATGAAATATGACTCAAATTACTTTACATAAGTATAAATGGACCAGAGATGGCCGTAAAACTGATTTGTCAGGGAGCTCTGAATTAGGGTTCCATGATGGTATGATTATAACCCTAACTAAGGTCATTAATAAGTTATATGAGCAGCTGTCTACGGCCCCAAACCAGAGCCCCCAAGACCCTCCCTGAGCATGCAGCACCCAGTGGGGTGGGGGTATTTTCAGAGCTCCCAATGTCCCACCCATGGGGACACCAGAGGGAGGGCTCGCTGGGTCCCCTGGCAGGGTGGGTGGTTGCCCTCCCAGTGGTGGCTGTAACGTGTCTGTCTTTTCAAAGCAATGGTTCACACTGAAGCGCACCCTGGCACACGGGGTGCTGGCGCAGCTGGGGAGCCTGCAGCCGCTGAGTGTGGGCTGCGTGGAGATCCGTGCCCGGCTCCTGGGACTGGCCGGGAGGGCCATCCACCTGCTGGCCATACAAGCTGACCCTGTGCGCCCCACCTGCTACTGGGAGGAGGGACCCTCGGTAGGTGCTCTGTGTGCCCCACCTGCTACTGGGAGGAGGGACCCTCGGTAGGTGCTCTGTGCGCCCCGCCTGCTACTGGGAGGAGGGACCCTCGGTAGGTGCTCTGTGCGCCCCGCCTGCTCTGGGAGGAGGGACCCTCGGTAGGTGCCCTGTGTGCCCCACCTGCTACTGGGAGGAGGGACCCTCGGTAGGTGCTCTGTGTGCCCCACCTGCTCTGGGAGGAGGGACCCTCGGTAGGTGCCCTGTGTGCCCCACCTGCTACTGGGAGGAGGGACCCTCGGTAGGTGCCCTGTGTGCCCCACCTGCTACTGGGAGGAGGGACCCTCGGTAGGTGCTCTGTGCGCCCCGCCTGCTACTGGGAGGAGGGACCCTCGGTAGGTGCTCTGTGCGCCCCACCTGCTACTGGGAGGAGGGACCCTCGGTAGGTGCTCTGTGCGCCCCGCCTGCTACTGGGAGGAGGGACCCTTCCTTGTAGGTGCTCCTGCTTCTACCCCAAGTCTGGTTTACACCTGTTGCCCGTGCTTGAAATATACAAGCAAAGTGTTTACACTCCCCTAAGTGTAGCAGACGAATCTTGTCATTCCCAGTTAACAAGGGCATAGCCCCAGGAAGAGAGGAAAGTGCAGGACACAGGCATGAGAGTCGGGGAAACAGGACTTCCGGGACAGATCTGGGAGGGAACCACAGCGCGTCTGTGGGTAGGCAGGGAGGGCAGGCTGGCACGTGGATCGGCCTTCTGCAGCATGGGGCCCACCCCAGTCCAGCCCTGAACTGGCAAGTGTGGAGCAGGCCCCGGCTCCTGGTGTTGCCCACAGCAGTGGCTCTGGCTGGCCCACAAGGGGACCTGGGGAGCTCAGAAGCTGCAGGAGTGGCCTTCGGTGGGCCGGAGCATGGGGTGCTGTGGCTCCCAGGCCCATGTGCAGTGGGGCAGCCCTGGGCTGCCTTGGCTCCCCTCTATCCCCACCCCCCATAGCCACGGAGGCTGCTGCCTCAGTGTAGCCAGGTAGCTCTGAAAGGGGCAGTCAGGACTTTCTTCCCCCTCAGCCCAGGGCCCACCCTTCTCCAGAGCCCCTGCAAGGCTGCCCAGGAGGGCTGAGTCACCTGCAGGAGTGACCTGCCCCCTCGGGACCCTCTGACAGTCCCTACAAGCCACACAAGCCTCCGCTCACCTTCTGAAACGCCTGTGCAGATGCCAATTCCTCCCTTGGAAGGCACCTGTCCCAGCAGAGAAGCTGGGCTTGTCCCCACACACCAGCTGGTTAGGAAGACTCCCTCAGGGACCAGAGCAGCCGCGGCGTGTGCCCGGCTCTAAGCCCAGGTCCGTCCCGGAAGTCCTGTGTTTCCCGACTCTCATGCCTGCCTCCTACACTTTCCTCTCTTCCTGGGGCCATGCCCTTCTTAACTGGGGATGACACGATTCTTCCGCCACACCGGGGGGAGTTAGACACTTCTCTGTGCAGCCCTGGGTCGGCCCTGAGATGTTGCCTGTGCTGTGCCTTCAGGACCTAGCCCAGGACTTCACGTGCCTCGAGTGAATTGATAGAGTTGTGGCTCTCAGTGCAACCAGCCTCCCTCGAGCTGCACATGTAGCAGGTGGCTGTGGAGCAGAAGCCAGGCTCGGCAGGGCCTCCTCTGAGCTGGCGTCCTCCTCTGTGAATGGTGATGAAGGTGCCCTGGCGAGGAGGGGCTGGGGCAGAGCAGGTGTCAGGCCCGGGTGGAGCGCAGAGGCCTTCCAGGGCCCCCAACCCATGCAGGCCAGACCCAGCCACACCTGCTCCTGCCGCCCCCCCCACCCCCGGGTGCCGCCTTCCGCTGTCCTTACATGTGATTTATGTTATTGTCCAGCTTCTTGAAATCGAAGCTGAAATCGAGGTTTTTTCTGGCTTTTTCTTGTATTCAAGGCTGTGCTTTTCCTCTAACCCCCATTTCGGTCCTCTAAGTTTTGATAACGGAGGATTGAACCTGTCTAGGGTCACTTGCCACGCTGTCTAAGGTGCTGTCCGCGCTCCTCGTCTGTTGTCTCACCACCCAGCAGATTAGGGAGCGTGGACACAGGTCGAGGCTGGAGCAGAAGTTTCATAAGCGAAAGAAGAAAGCTCTCTGCGGTGGAGAGGGGCCGCCATGTTTCCTGTTGAATCCAAAAGCTTTGATGGGAAACTCCCCTCATCTCTTTGGCTGTTCTTGTGACCTCCCTTATCTGTGTCTTTAGGGAGCATGAGGTTCAGCTTCTCGTTTGTGCAGCTGTGGGTATGTTTTGGATGAGCCCCCCTCACCCCTCCCGCAACCCACGCAGGTTCCCTTGGACCCCATTATGTACATGCCTAGAGGGGAGGCAACTTCCCCGGAGCATGGAGGCCTCTCTTCGGGGCCACCTGCTCACCAGTGCAGCTGCAGGGCGGCTTTTCCCAGGCTGCTCTCTCTCTGTGCCCGTGGCTGTGACTTTTCAGGCTGTCTCTCCGAGGACCAGCCGTGGCTGTAGGCCTAACTGACTTTTCCTTTTCTTCTCCCTCGGTATTTTCATTCTCTGAGTCCGTTTAAAGTGTTTTCTAAATTCCGTTGACATTTCTTCCTTGACTGACTTGATGATTGTATCTTGTTTCATTTCAAGGCGCCTGTTTCTCACCGGTGTGTTTTCATTACTGACTTCCAGTTTAATGTCGTGGTGGAAAACACACCCTGAGTGGTCTCGGTCCTGGGGACTCTGCGGTGGCTGCACGTGGCTGCACGTGGCCCAGCCCTGGTTGGTTTTGGTCGATGCTCCTCACACACCTGAACTGCGTGTGCCGTCGTTAGAGGGACAAGGCTCTGTGTGCGTCAGGCGGCTGGTGCTGCACCGCCTCCAGCGTGCTTGCTGGTTTTCACCTGCACTCAGGTGGCCCACCTTCCAGTCAGGGGCTTGTCAATCACTCCTTCTCCATTTCTATCAGTGTCTTTTTTATTTTGATGCCTAGTCATTGAGTGCATACAGATTTCACATTGCGATACCTGTGACCTGAAAAACCAGGTGCTCGCTCTCAACCCACTTGTTCAGGGGCCACCTGGGCTTCCTACCCCCAGGTGGGGGTTTGTTTCCCAACCAGGGGTCCCTGGGCCTGTGCAAGCCTCAGCTCCAAGAAAGGAGCTTCCGAAGGATGGGAACAAGAGCCCCTCAGAATGCTTGGTCCTGCAGGCCAGCTTCCCGGGGGGGCTGCATCCTCACCCTGGCTGCAGCGTCTCCTCACCCAGGCTCAAGGGCCAGGGCCACCCTGCATCAGCTAAGAGCTGGAGGGTTTGGGACAGGGAGAGGCCACGCTGCGCCTGAAGTGCCCCCCACCCGGGGACACTGCCGAGGAGCCCGACTGCCCCAGCCTCCCTGGGTGGACTCTGCCCACCAGCCTGCGGTGTGTGTTACAGGTGGGTGCCAAGCTGAGTGACCTCGGGTCTCTGGAGCTGGAAGCAGAGGAAGAGGATGCCAGGAAGTCCAGCAGGGACCCGCCAGCCTCCAGGGCGGCCCCGGAGGAGCAAGTCAGGAGAGGCGGGGACCTGAAGGTACGGCTGCCCCTCCTACCCCTCTTGTGGCCTCTCCTGAACCCAGTCTGAGCCTGAGCCTTGTGCCCTGCAGAGGAGGATGGTTCTGGCCCAGCAGTACCTGGCACAGGCCTCGGAGGTGCTGCTGCAGTGCCTACACGTGGCCCTTGGCAGTGGCCTCCTGGACGTCGCGGCAGCTGCCAGCCTGGAGATGGTGGAGTGCGTTGGCGCCCTGGACCCTGTGACTACCTGCCAGTTCCTGGCGCTGTCTCAGGTGTGGCTCTGGCCCGTGCACCTCCAGCCAGGCCCTTCGAGGAGGAGGGAGAACCCTGGCACAAGGGAACTCTCTCTGCAGGTGGCCCCACCCCTGGGATCCAGCTGGGGCCCTCACCTTGGGGACTCGATTAGAGAAGAGGGCCTCCGGCTGTGGTCCTCGAGCAGTGGAGTCCGCCGGCCACGTAAACTTGTGGCTCAGAGACAACATGCCTTCGTGACCCCAAACCCAAACCCCACATTGGGCAGACACAGAGACCCAGCAGTCACAGGCCAGCAGGGCCCTGTCTGTGTGGCCCTGTGGGGGAACAAGTGTGGCCCCACGTGACTCTGCAGGTGCCAGGAGGAGCCAGCATCCTGGGGGAGCTGTGCAGGAGAGCCAGCCCACTCCTGCGCCCAGGCTCAGCCACGGTGCACCCTCCGCAGGCTGCAGCCCTCCCCGGCCAGGCCTTGGGCCCCTGGTATGCCTCCCCTGCTCTGTTTCAGAGCTGCTCGGCCTCAGAGACCATGAGGGACGTCCTGCTCGCAGCCACGGCCAACACCAGCAGCTCCCAGCTGGCAGCCCTGCTGCAGCTCCAGCACCAGCTCCGGCGCCAGGACCGGACCACCACCAGCCTGGGCACCAGTGTGGAGCAGAGGCTGGCTGCTGTGTCCAAGGTAACTGGGCAGGAATGCGACTGAACCTGCCCCCACCCTGGGGCTCTGCGGACAGACACCACAGCCACACAGTCCCACGCCTGAGTGAGGGCAGCCTTGCGCTACCCCCGGCTCCTGGGACATCCTTCCCCCCACCCCTCTCCCCGCCCCAGTTGTGTTCGCCTGGGTCACCGGGCCTCTTGGAGCCTCAGTGTCCTCCTGGTCCTTGTGGGGCAGTAACAGCCCACCTGGTGGGTGCTGTGAGGTTGGCGAGGTCACTACGAACGCACAGCCCAGCCTGCAGCCGAGAGCTGACCACCAGATGGGCCGCAGTGCCCCGAGGGCCTCACGGGGATTGGAGCTGGGTCAGGTCTGAGGCTTCCATCTCGAGAAACATTTGTAGAGCAGGATAGCTATGGTGCCTTTTATTTGGATTATCAGGTGCAAATGGCAGTATTTAAAGAAAAAAGACTTAAGGACATTTCTCAAATTGTGGGAAATGGACAAATGTGGCCCGGTGGCGCCCCTTCCTCAGAGGCTGCATGGCTGCCTCCGTGGTCTTCTCACCGGGGTGGACCTGACCAATTATCCCCTCATCCAGGGCTGTTTGGCAGACAGTGCTTTGCTGGTGAGGGTGGGGTGGGGGCAGCATCCACTACTGGGTGACAGGAGCACCCCCTGCCATTGTGACATCTGCATGGTCCTGACTGGGAACCGGTGACCCCACCCAGAGGTGGGAACCTGGAAAGCTGCCATCCTTCTGAAGCTGAGAGGTTGGAGGGCGGCAGGCAGGGAGTGGAGGGCAGAGGCAAGGGGACTGCAGGCCCAGCCCAGGCCTGAGGACAGGAGAAGGTGGCGTAGCCTGGCCCTGCACCTGGAGGAAGATGCAGGTGCCCATGGCTCTGCCGGAGCTGGGTCCAGGAGGGTGTGCACAAAAGCAGAAAGAAAAACGGGCTACGTCAGGCGTCCGAGGGGCACCTGTGGTCTAGGCCGGATGTGAGGAGGTGCTTGTGGTCTAAGCTTGATGTTGGGGGCGCCTGTGGTCTAAGCTGGGTGCAGAGGTGCATGCCTATGGCCCAAGCTGGGTGTGGGGGAGTACCTGCCTGTAGCCCCAGCTACTCAGGAGGCTGAGGCAGGAGGATCACTTGAGCCCAGGTGTTCAAGGCTGCAGTGAGCCATGATGGTACCTGTGAATAGCCACTGCCCCCAGCCTGACCAACATAGTGAGACCCCATCTCAAAAAAAAATGGGCCACCCTGGGCAGCACTTACTGGACAGGGTGAGATGCGAGCAGCCAGGCTGGCACCAGGGTACCTGCTGTGAGTGAGCTGGGCATGGGAGTCACGGCCCTCCCTCCCCTGTGGCTGTGGACCAGGCAAAGCTCACCCCATTGGAGCTTTGGGGACCAAGGACCCCAACATGTGTGACTGATGGCTCCCATGTGTCATCCCCAGGCCGGCTCCCAGGGATGACACATGGGAGCCATCAGTCACCACAATGGGGGTCACCACTCTCAGGTCCCCACCTCCCCCGCCCATGCTGTTGCAGGAATCCTCATGGAAGTGGTGCACCAACTTGCAGCCAGGTACAGACTCACAGCAGTCAGGCTGAGGGGCATGGGTCACAGCAGGCCCAGGGCAGCAAGCCGGCAGCATCGGGCCGGTAAATGGTGGAGCCTCATATTTTTAAAGTCATGAGCTATGGAAGCAGTGAGAACTGGCTAAGCTAAAATTCTCACACTGAAAACACCTGCCGCAGTGAGCCAACCCTCAGTCTCTGCTCAGGGGCCCCTGATTGATTCAGGAGTCAGCTGGAATTGTTGTCAGCAGAGGCTCTGCAGGGAGGAGAAGGAGCAGCCTGGAGCCAGGAGGGGAGAGGCCACGTCACTGCAGCTGGGAGCAGCCCCGCAGCCCCCTGGGAACACCCACTGAGAGCAGAGCCACAAGGCACCCTGGGAACACCCACTGAGAGCAGAGCCCCATGGCACCCTGGGAACGCCCACTGAGAGCAGAGCCCCACAGCACCCTGGGAACACCCACTGAGAGCAGAGCCACAAGGCACCCTGGGAACACCCACTGAGAGCAGAGCCACAAGGCACCCTGGGAACACCCACTGAGAGCAGAGCCCCACGGCACCCTGGGAACACCCACTGAGAGCAGAGCCCCGCGGCACCCTGGGAACACCCACTGAGAGCAGAGCCCCGCGGCACCCTGGGAACACCCACTGAGAGCAGAGCCCCACGGCACCCTGGGAACACCCACTGAGAGCAGAGCCCCATGGCACCCTGGGAACACCCACTGAGAGCAGAGCCCCGCGGCACCCTGGGAACGCCCACTGAGAGCAGAGCCCCGCGGCACCCTGGGAACGCCCACTGAGAGCAGAGCCCCAAGGCACCCTGGGAACGCCCACTGAGAGCAGAGCCCCGCGGCACCCTGGGAACGCCCACTGAGAGCAGAGCCCCAAGGCACCCTGGGAACACCCACTGAGAGCAGAGCCCCGAGGCACCCTGGGAACGCCCACTGAGAGCAGAGCCCCGCGGCACCCTGGGAACACCCACTGAGAGCAGAGCCCCGCGGCACCCTGGGAACGCCCACTGAGAGCAGAGTCTTGCAGCACCCTGGGAACGCCCACGGAGAGCAGAGCCCCGCGGCACCCTGGGAACGCCCACTGAGAGCAGAGTCTCACAGCACCCTGGGAACGCCCACTGAGAGCAGAGCCCCGCGGCATCCTGGGAACACCCACTGAGAGCAGAGCCCCAAGGCATCCTGGGAACACCCACTGAGAGCAGAGTCTCGCAGCACCCTGGGAACGCCCACTGAGAGCAGAGCCCCGCGGCACCCTGGGAACACCCACCAGGTCCTGGGCCTTAGGGACGTTCCCCTTGAAGCTTCTGGAAGGCAGTGAAGTCTGCTGTGGTTCCGTGGTGCCTGGAGAGGACACAGCCCCCAGGACGTAGTGTCCCCCGCAGCGTCCCACATGTGCTCTCCTAAATGAAGGGCTCGTGCAGGGGCTTCAGAGAAAGTGAACGTGGCCGAAGGTTGAATCTGTGACAGCGAAGCGAACTGAAAAGACGGAGCAGGGGTGCTGTGATTCGAAAGCTTGTCCCCCTCGAAACCCGTGTTGAAACATGAGCCCTGTGTGGCAGTGTTGAGAGCTGGGGCCTCTAAGAGGTGACTGGGTCACGAGGGCTCACGAGTGGGTCAACCCGCTTGACGGCTACTAAGTGAACAGATTAATGGTTGTCCTGGGAGTAGGGCTGGCGGCTTTGTGAGAAGAGGAGGAGACCTGGGCTAACAGCCGCCCACCGTGTGCTGTCCGGGGCCACTGGGGACTCGGCAGAGGCCCCACCAGCAGCAAGGCCCTCACCAGAGGCGGCCCTTTGACTTTGGACTTCTCAGCCTCCAGAACTGTAAGAAATAATTTCCTTTTCTTTAGAAGTTACTCAGTTTCGGATACTCTGTTATAAACAACTAGAAACGGACTAAAAATTGGTGCGAGGAGTGGGATTGTTGACAATAATGAAAATATGGCAGCAGCTTCGGGACTAAGGAGCAGAGACTGAAGACGTGTGCAAGAGAAGCTTCACAGACCCTGTGTCTGCAGACAGGTCATCAAGGGGGTTCTGGCGAGGGCCTGCCTGGAAGACAGGATACTCAGGGAACGTTTGCAACTTTTTTTTTTTGAGATGGAGTCTTGCTCTGTCACCAGGCTGGAGTACAATGGTGTGATCTTGGCTCACTGACAGCTCCACCTCCTGGGTTCAAGTGATTCTCCTGCCTCAGCCTACGGAGTAGCTGGAACTACAGGCGCACGCCACCACGCCTGGCTAATGTTTTGTATTTTAGTAGAGACGGTTTTACCATGTTGGCCAGGATGGTCTTGATCTCCTGACCTCATGATCTGCCCGCCTCAGCCTCCCAGAGTACTGGGATTGCAGGTATGAGCCACCGCGCTCAGCCATGTTTGGGGCTCGTTAGAGATCTGGTGAGTGGTCGTGACCAGAATGCTGATGGAAGCATGGACGGGAGAGGCCGTGCTGATGAGATTTCACATGGGACTGAGGAGCAAGGTGTTAAAACCAGGAATAAAGGTCAGCCTCGTGGACTTGTCATACATTAGCAAAGGCCGTGGCTGTCGTCGAAGGCTGAACTCGAGAGTGGCGAGAGAGGGCAGCTGGCAGAATAAAGACTCACGCAGCAAAGAATCAGGCAGCTGCGGGGCTGCTCACAACCACTACATAAGCTGCAAGAGGGAAAAATAACTCGGAGGTGGAAATTAGCATCAAAAGAAGAGCAGAAGGATGTGGAAGTTCGTGGCCTGGCCACTTGAAGAGTCAAAGCTGCATCCAGGAGAGTGGCAAGGCTGTAGACCTTTTGCCAAAAGTAAGCCCGGAGACAGGGGCCGGGTGCTGCTCCTCAGAGACCTTCAATTCTGCCCTCCTGTTGCAGGCCTGGAGGCCACAGAGGGCAGAATTGTTCTGGTGGATGAGCCAGAGGAGTCCTCCACAGGGTCCCCGCCCAGGGCCTGCTGGGGACCGTGCTCCCTAAATTCCAGTGCATTTCTCCATGGCACCCCAGCAGTGGCTTAGGCAGCTCTGGTGCAGACAGACCCACAGCTCAAGAAGATGTGGCCACAGCCACGTGGCACAGATTCCACAGGCTTGCAGAGAGCAAGATGGAGGCTTTGCAGCCTCCACCCAGATTTCAAAGGATGCCATTGAAAGCTTGGTTGCCCAGGGATGGAGCCACTGGAGTCAGCCCCACCAGGGCAAAGCCTACCACACCCATGGGAGCAAGACCCCCACCAGGACCTGAGAGCTGCAGAGCCACTGGCAGCACCCACCACGGGAAGCTTCAGGCACCAGACTCCAACCCGTGAGAGCAGCCATGTGGGCTGCACCCAGCAAAGCCATCGGGGTGGCCCAACCCGCAGCCCGTGTCCAGAAGCAGCAGGTGCCGTCGGAAAAGGCCATTCCCTGGCTTTAGGGTGACGTCAGCCCTGCAGGGTCCGGGCTTGCTTGGAGTGCGCCACTCGTCTCTTTTTGCCTGTTCCTGTTTTCAAGTGGGAATGTCTCAGGCGGCCCCACCGCTGTATGTCGGAAGAAGAGAACTTGTTTGGATTCCACGGGCTCATAGATAAGACTCTGAAATTTGGACTTTTGAGTAGCTGCTGGAAGAAGTTAAGACTTTGGGGCTTTGGGGCTTGTAGGAATGTATTTGTAGAGAGAAAGACATGAATTTTGGGGGCAGAATGCTATGGTTTGAATGTTCCCTCCAAAACTCATGAATGGATTGATCCAATTTATGGTTTTAGATTCCAGGGTTATCGTGGGAGAGGGACTGGTGGCTTCACAGAAGAGGAGGAGAGACCTGAACTGGCACACTCTGCCCCTTACCACAGGATGCCCTGCGCTGCCCTGGACTCTACGAAGTCCCCACCTGCGAAAAGGCCCTCAGCTGACGTGGTAAAAACTGACCAGTGCTGGTCCACATGGGGCCACAGCAGAGTCCCCCAGCACCGGGGCCACTTGGAGTGTATTTTCCAGCCACGGTTAAACAGGAAATCAGTAACAAAAATGGGCCTAAGAGAAACATGGTTGCCTTGAAATTAGACAATGTACTTAACAGTGATCCAATTAGTCAAAGAAGTCACGTGGCATTCAGGAAACACTTCAGACTGACTTGGAGAATGAAAATGCTACAAATAAACACTCTAAACTGACTTGGAGAATGAAAATGCTACAAATAAACACTCTAAACTGACTTGGAGAATGAAAATGCTACAAATAAAAACTCTAAACTGACTTGGAGAATGAAAATGCTACAAATAAACACTCTAGACTGACTTGGAGAATGAAAATGCTACAAATAAACACTCTAGACTGACTTGGAGAATGAAAATGCTACAAATAAACACTCTAGACTGACTTGGAGAGTGAAAATGCTACAAATAAACACTCTAGACTGACTTGGAGAGTGAAAATGCTACAAATAAACACTCTAGACTGACTTGGAGAATGAAAATGCTACAAATAAACACTCTAGACTGACTTGGAGAGTGAAAATGCTACAAATAAACACTCTAAACTGACTTGGAGTGTGAAAATGCTACAAATAAAAACTTAGGTGACTGAGTAAATCAAGTTACTGTAAAAATACAGCCTTGAATACAAGAAATAATCCAGGGAAAAAAACCTTGATTTAAGCTTTGATTTCAAGAAGCTGGACAACAACAATAAATTACATCTAAGGAAAATGAGGACAAATCAATTCATCAGAAACAGCGAAGTCAGACGAGCAGAGGAAATCCAAGGCACAGGTTGGTTCCAAAGAGAAGACCATGAAATGGAGAAAAAAAGAGAAAAGGCAAGTTCTCAGCATCCGCAGGAAAAAGACCCCCACTGAGCGCAGATGTTGAAAGTTCACAGAGAATGTTCTTTGTAGCCTCAGTCCATACAGTTGACACCTGGAATCAAACAGACCAACTCCTCAAACAAACACGGCTCACCGAAGCTGACAGAAGCCTAGAAAATCTTTTCTTTAAAATGTTGCTACGAGGGAGACCCAGACCCCACTGGCTTCACCAGTAAATTCTTCCAGAAACAGAAAGAAGAAAAGCCACTTTCAAAACTCATAGCAAGTAGAAATAAAACACAAACTCCCTCTTTTACTCAGAGGCCCAATGAACCTTGATGCTGGAAACTTCGCAGGGGCATTGCAAGAAAGGAAAAGCTCTCTCGTCAATATTACACAAAAATCCTAACAAAACGTAGCAGGTAAAGTCCAGCAGTTCTACAGGGATGCCACATGAGGGATGCCACATGAGGGATGCCACATGAGGGATGCCACTTCAGGGATGCTACATCAGGGATGCACGTCAGGGTCAATATTCAAAGAGCACTCAACGTCAGTGACCATGTTAACAGAGGGAAAAGGAGACAAATCCTAAGATCATATTGGCAGGTGCAAAAAAAGGTGTCTTTCAGAATCCAGCATCCACTCATGATTTTTAAAATTAAGGTACAAGCAAATGTTCTTAATCAAATAAAGAATATCTATGCCGCCCTAGCACGCATCATATTTAATGTACAGTATTGAAAAGTTTTCCCCAAGAGTGGAAATGCACAGCCTATCAGCACTTGTATTGAATACAGCACAGTAAGAGTTGGAAAAGAAATACAATGTAGAAAGACCCAAGAGGAAATACAGAACTAAGAGACTGAAGAACTTGAAGGCTGTTCCTCGTTGCGGCGGAGAGGCTCTGCTGTGAAGCCAGCAGTTCTATCTGTGGCCGAGGGTTCGCACACGCGCCTTCTCCTTCCGGCGAGATCTCAACTCGGTTCCCCTGAGCCATTAGCAACGTTGTTTTCCGCAGAGGTGGCCTGGCACGTGACCCAGAGCTGTGTCCCTTGTGGGGAACCTGGGCTGTGCCACATCCCTGTGGCCACGGGAGACCCAGGGTGGGAGCCGTGCAAGGGTAAAATGGCACACCGGACTCCACTGAAATGCAGAAGTTCTGTTCATCAAGAATGCCCTGCCTTGCGAGAGTCAAGGGGCAGCCACAGAGAAGGTACTGACACTTGGCTGCCTGACACACGCATGGATGGAGGGCATGGGTCCCTTTTCCGTAAGAAAAGGAGACACTGATGAAAGATGGCACCAGGGTGGGCTTTCACAAACTCAGAGATTCGAGTGCCCAGAAACAATTTGAGTGGCACTCAGGTTCCCTGGTCAGCAGGGAAATGCAAAACTGAAGGCTGACGCAGCTAACCCGTCACCAACTGGAATGGCCCACATGGAAAAGGAGAACACGGCCAGTGGGGGTGAGACAGGGGTGGAGTGGCTGGGGCTCCCTGAGCCTCGTGCCCACCCCTTGGCACAGCAGCTGCTTAGCAGAGTTCTGGCAGGAGGGCTATAGCTGACGCCGCACCTGGCTCCGTGCCCGGGAGAAATGCGTCTGTGCACACACGCATGTCTGTGTGTCCGTGCTTGTTTGAGTGTTTGTGCATCTGTGCAAGTGTGTGTTTGTGTGTCTCTGCTTGTCTGCATGTGTGCGTCTGTGCACGTGTGTGTCTGTGCTTGTCTGTGTGCATCTGTGCACATGTGCCTCTCTGTCCCTGCTTGTCTGCATCTGTGCACGTGTGTCTGTATCCATGCTTGTCTGCGTGTCTGCATCTGTGCATGTGTGTGTCTGTGTGTCCGTGCTGGTCTGCGTGTGTGCGTCTGTGCACACGTGCGTCTGTCCCTACTTGTCTGCATCTGTGCACATGTGTCCGTGCTTGTCTGCGTGTGTGCGTCTGTGCACACGTGCGTCTGTCCCTGCTTTTCTGCATGTGTGTGTCTGTGCACGTGTGTCTGTCCATGCTTGTCTGAGTGTGTGTGCATCTGTTCATGTGTGTGTCTGTGTGTCCGTGCTTGTCTGCGTGTGTGCATCTGTGCACGCATGCGTCTGTGTGTCCATGCTTCTCTGTGTGCACGTGTGTGTCCGTGCTTGTCTGCGTGTCTGTGCGTGTGCGTGTCTGTGTCCGTGCTTGTCTGTGTGAATGTGCGTCTGCATGCATCCGTGTATCTATACGCGTATGTCTCCATGTGTGGTCTGGAGGACACAGGAAAGAGGACGGAGGGAAAGACACCAGTCACGGAGGAGGCGCTGGAACATTTTCCGTTTGTTATTTTGGGTTTGGCAAAGATGCACTTCCCGTCATGCGAATCAGGTTTCTAAACATTAACCGGAGGGAAATGACATTTTGGGGCTGCCAGTGACTCTCGTGTGCCTCTGCTGCCCCCTGGTGGCAGCCCCAAATCACTTCCAGCAGGGCCCCCCTCCCCGCCCCACCCCCAAGGGCCCCAGCCCCAGGCAGGCAGGGCACAAATCCCCCGCCATGGCTCTGCAGAAAATCTCCGCCTCGAGATCTCCTGGAAATGATGAGAACAGCACAGCGACGTCCCTGCATCCTAAATGCGCCCACTGATGGCTGTTTTTCGCAACACAGGCTTGGCAAAATCTCTGCGTCACTGAGCAGCATTTTAACCTCTTGAATGAGATGCCTCCTACTTTTCGGATATTCTTTCTGCACCTCTCACCGGACAGGTAAAGCCGCTCATTCCTGTTGAGGCTGCCCCCACCCCGCTGAGGGCCTTAGAGGGGCATAGACCCAGCCATGGGCTGCCCGAACCTCATCCCCATCCCAGGGAGGCCTGGGACTCGGGAACTGGCCGGCCAGTCCTGAGAAGCTGCCAGACAGACACCAGGTACCCCAACTGACACGCGGTGGGGACAGTCCAGGGGTGTGGGACCCCTGTCCTGTTCCTCCCGGAGGGAGGTGAAGGGGCACTGCCTGTGACCTGTCACCTTAACAGGGCCTTCACGTCTGGTCGGGGTGTCCGGACCTGGAGCACTGTTACGGTGGAGCAGAGAGCGGGACGGCTGTGCCTCTGGCAGTGACCACAAAACCCACTGGCCGTGGCCAAGTGCTCAGTGCACAGCCCAACCTATTCTCAGTCCAAGTCCCAGCCACCCACGCACACCCAGCTGTGCTATGCCCCTTGAGGTGTACACAGGAAGGGCCCTGCTGGGTTGCGTGGTCTGCAGAAGTGGCCTCAGAGAGCCCCTCAGAGGTCCCTGGGGCTGGTGGGCTCTGCGGTGTTTACTCGGGGCTTGCCTGTGACCCTAGCCCGCATCCTGCCAGCAGGTCCCATCTGTACAGCGCTGCTTACGAGAAACCCAAGTTCATTCCTGTAGCCAAAGGAAAGGTGCAGCATGTGGGAGGTGAGTGGGGCTGCACGGGGCAGGGGCGGGAGCAGGGCTGATGCCTGCCGCGCCTCAGGGCCCCTGCACCCAGGCCCTTTCCTCCCAGAAGCTGAAGGCCCACCAGGGAGCCCCGGCCTGCTGTCCAGGGGGCGTGGCCTCCCCAGCCCTCCACCCACAGGGATGGAGAGGTCTGTAGAGCCTGTGACATTGGGGAAATAGGCAAAATGGGCATGTGCTTCCCCAGGCCCAGGAGGCCCATCCACTGGCCGTGCAGTGATATGGCTGCCCCTCCACGGCACAGGCCAGGCTCTGGGGGACTCTGCATGGAGGAAGGGGCTTCCATCCGTGCAGCCTTTCCTGCAGGGACAGCAGCCTTTGCCCAGTGCTCACCAGGCATGGTCCAGCTGCCATCCTCAGCCTGGGCAGCGACAGAGGGTGTGTCCATGTCCCCCAGGCCCCTGTAAGGTGATGCGGCTGGCCGTGAGTCCCACCGCCTTGTCCCACCTACTGGCCTGTGCCCAGGAGTTCCGGAAGCAGATCCAGGACCAGGTGTACGCAGAGGACCTGCTTCTGAGCACAGGCTCGGTGAGGCCCTCCAGGCTCCAAGCCGGGACCCTGTGCCCCTGCCCCTGAGAGCCAGAACCCCAGGAAGGTGTGGCAGGGGTAGGACGCTGGACCAGGCTGCTGAAGGGCTTGGACCACCCTGACACTGAGGCACTGCCCAACTCCCAGGCCAAACTCCACACCAGGGGAGAGCGCTTGGGCTCCTTGGCCATGTCTGATCCCTGAAGTGCAGAGGGGCCAACTGTGCTCTGCAGAGCTTAGGGTTGTCAGGGCCCAGCTATCCCTGCAGGCAGGACTCTCTGTGATGCAGGCAGAGGAGATGGGTGGGGGCTTGGGTGTCAGGGTGACACCCTGGGTGAGGTAACTGTCCAGGGGATGGGCAGGTGATCTCCCCAGTGGATGGGTGAAGTGATCCCCAGGGGATGGACAAGTGACCCCCAGGGGATGGGTGAGGTGACCCCCCAGGGGATGGGCAGGTGACCCCCCGTGGGTGGGTGAGGTGACCCCCAGTGGATGGGCAGGTGACCCCCAGGGGATAGGCAGGTGCTGTGGGGCTCTCGCTGCTGAGCGGGGTGCCCTGGTCCACCACGTTGGCAGAAGGGGCAGGAGCTCAGCCTTTCCGCAGGGGCCCGGCTTCTCTCAGGGTCTGGACACCCTCTCCGCTATGGGGGCCTCTTGTTTCGGTTGAGGTAGGAGCCAGAAGGCCTGCAGGCAGAAGAGGAGGAGCCCCCGGTGCACGGTCTCAGCAGCATCCTGGAGGCCCTGGAGGAGCTTCTGCGGCCGCTTTTCCCCATGCTCAGTGTCTCCGAGGCCAGGTACTGGGGACGACGCCGAGGCCCAGTCCCCACCACGCTCACAAATGGACACGTGTGTCCAGTGCTGCGGCCGACCACGTGTGCTTGCTGCGCCTTCTCAGCTGCCTTGTTCCAGACTCCGCACCACACACCTGCTCCTGAGAAGACGTCCTGGTTCTGCCTCCATTCCAGCCTGGAGGAGCACCTCCCAGTGCCACTCCCCGAGGCCCCTCCCACCCCTGGCCCAAGCGTGGGGTGGGAGGGCAAGCACCTCCAAGGGGCCATCGGGCTCCTTTGCTTTTGGGTGGGGAGGAAGGCAGAGGGGACGGGCACCTGGCACCGTTTAGCCTGGCTGGTGGGTCAGAGGTGATCTGAAACCCTGCTCATCCCAGCCCCGCCTCAGCAGGACCATCCCCAGAAGCGAGCACGGGGACGTCTAGTGGTGCTGCTGCCTTAGATTGAAGCGGGCTGAGCGAGTGTCACTTATATATTCTTAGCAGATGTCATCTCTATCTGTTTCTTAAACCCGAGTATGTGACCTGACTTTCAGAGTGCAGACACCCGTGCTTGCTGCAGAGTCAGGGAAGTCCAAGGGGAAAGACAAGGAGAGGAAACTGTCCACAGGGCCACAGAGTGAGTGCAGTGGGCACTGCACTCAGCTTGGGGAGCTCGTTCTGCCAGAAGTGGGGTTGGGATCTACCCACCCAGCCGGGAAAGCCAAGGGGGGTCAGGAGCCCAGGAGTCCCACCCCCACGGCCCTGCAGCCCCTCCCTCTGAGATGGGGCGCCGGAGGGTTCTGTGCACAGCCTGGACCAGCCCACCCTCCGGGTAGGAGGCTCTGCCAAGCCCCCCAAGAGCACCCGGGAACCCAGCACAGCTGTCCTCTCGTGGGTGGATTGTCAGCCCCGCCACACCACACATGCTTGCTAACAAAAGGAGGGAAAGGCATGATGGGGGGCTGTTCCTGGCCCCATTCCCGGGCGTCTGGAGGAGTTGACATGGAGTCGAGGCGGGCCACCAGCCTTTCCCAGCAGCAAAGTCAGAAGGCGCAGCCCTGCGGCCCGTGGGAGGGGCCTCGTTTTCGGGGGCTGATGTCCCTGCACCTGGACTGCCGTTTCCAGACACAGTCCAGCCCGAGGTGGCCGATCAGATCATCCTGGTCACAGACAGACATCTCCTGGAGCTGCCGCTGGAAGGTCTCTCCGTGTTCCATGAAGGGACAATTTCCTCTGTGTCACGAGAATTCTCTCTCCAAATGTTATGGAACCGCCTCCGTAAAGAAGAGACAGGTAGGAATGGCCCTTAGCCACCTTCATGTGTAATTTTAAAATGGAAGATTTAAATTATTTTTCAGATAAAACAATGTTAGCTCCTATCAAAAAATAATCATCCAATGTTGCCACATTTTTCTAGGCATTTATTCATTCAAAGATGTTCACAGGATATAAATACTCACCACCCTGGGCAACGTGGTGAGAGTGCATCTCTGCAGGAAATTTTAAAATCAGCTGGGCACGCACCTGTGGTCCCAGCTACTCGGGAGGCTGAGAGGTGGGAGGATGGCTTGAGCCTGGGAGATGGAGGCTTTAGTGAGCCGAGATGGCACCACTGCCCTCCAGCCTGGGCGACAGAGTGAGACCCTGTCAGAAAGAAAAGACATAAACAAAGGTATTTATGAAGCACCTGCGACATGCTGGTATCCATGTGCCAAGCACACAGGGAGGAAGAATCTAACACTGTTCTTTCCCACAAATATGTTTCAAAGGAAGGAACCAGAGGGGCAGTGAGCAGCCGGCCTCCCCGTGAATCACTCGGTTAGACGGGGAAAGCAGTGAGGGAGCGTACGGGAGGCCCTGGCCTCGGCCGGGACTTGGGGTGGTGACGCTGGTGACTGAGTGCTGGCTGTGCACACGGGCCCTGTTTGTGAAACTTCCCCAGCCCTACACCGTGGTGTTGGCAGTTTTCTGCGTATACGTTGCACTTCAATATCAAATGAAACTAAAAATAAACAGACTGGACTTTTGCTTCCGTCTCAGGTGAGGTAACAAGGACCAGATTTGCCCTTCCAGCTGAGACCACTAAAAACCAAAAAACACATGATTGTTTCCAAACGTTGACGAGCAGGACAAGGGTCCTTGAAAGAGGGGTTGCCTGGCCAGCACCATGGCCCACCCAGCTCTTACTTCCTGGGGAGTTTCCAGGTCACAGTACTGGCAGGGGTGGGGGGTGGGAAGAGCCCAGGGGTCTCCCCGAGTTGAGGACAGGGAGTTTGGAGTCCAGGGACACGGATGGCCAGAGGTGCAGGGCGGGACACCCAGGAGGAGAGACCTGCCAGGAACGGCTGCTCTGAGAGATGCAGAGTCCTCAGCAGAGAAACAGCCAACGCGTGTGTGCGGCCGGGGTCGGGGCAGCTCTGCAGACGGGAAAGACGTGGACAAACACTGACGCCATCTTTAATTCAAAATCCCTTTAAAATATTTTTGAGCAAAAAGTTTAGAGCAAAAGAAAATGATAATAGTGTGGGGTTTTATAACATAAATGTGAAATGAATAACAGCACTAAAGATGCGAGGGAGGGCATGGCACCAGCAGAGTACCAGGGAGGGCATGGCACCAGCAGAGTACCAGGGAGGGCATGGCACCAGCAGAGTACCAGGGAGGGCATGGCACCAGCAGAGTACCAGGGAGGGCATGGCACCAGCAGAGTACCAGGGAGGGCATGGCACCAGCAGAGTACCAGGGAGGGAATGGCACTCGCAGAGGACTAGGGAGGGAATGGCGCTTGCAGAGGACCAGGGAGGGCATGGCACCAGCAGAGTACCAGGGAGGGCATGGCACCAGCAGAGTACCAGGGAGGGAATGGCACCAGCAGAGTACCAGGGAGGGAATGGCACTCGCAGAGGACTAGGGAGGGAATGGCGCTTGCAGAGGACCAGGGAGGGCATGGCGCTCGCAGAGTAGTGAAGGCTGCGTCCTCTAGAGAACGTGCTGTAACATCACTTGAAGATAAGGCCGCAGTAGAGACATGAACTATACACCCTCAAGTAATCGCTAAACGCAAAAAAAAGAGCAAACAGAAAACGCCAGAGTTTATACCAAACACATGATGCAGAAGAGGAAATGGATCATAAACACACACTTAATCGTAAAAACACAGAAAAAGAGGGAACAGAGAAGGGACAGGAGAAATAAACAGCAGGACAGTGTATTTCAGCCCAACCATACCCGTAATCACGGCGTCTAAACAGCCCACTGAAAGAGGAATATCATCTGATTAAATGGAAATCCAGCGTTCAAAATACGCTTCCGTCAAGAAACCCACTTTAAATAAAAAGAAATGGTGCATTTTTAAAGGATGAAAAAGCCGTATCTCTTACTATTCAAAGAAGGTTGCCGTGGCAAGATGAAATTAGAAATAGGTGGAGTTGGGGGCCAGAGGTGCAGAGGGTCCTTCCGAACGAGGAGGCTAATTCCTGAAGAGGGTGTGAAGCCCAATTATTAATCCATCAATGAACATGGCTGTGAAGTACACGGGATAAAACCCACGGAACCACGGAGCAATCGTGACATACACAGGGATGGCTGGGGGGCCAACGTCCCCTTCTCAATAGTGATGGACAGATCTGCATTGAATCAGGAGGGTGTGCAGGATTTAAACGTACCGGCCAGCTTCATCTAACCAACACTTACGTAACAGTCCCCTCCCTCGACGGAAGAATGGATTCTTTTTCCACACAGAACATTTGACAAGACACACCCTAAGCGGAGCCGTAAAACAAGCCGCACAAACCTTAAAGGGTCCAAATCACTCACAATAGGTTCTCTGACCACACTGGGTTAAATTAGAAATTAATAACAGAAATTGTGTCTGGAAAACCCCAAACACTTAGAAACTAAGTATACTTCTCAAATACCCATGGATAAAAGAGGAAATTAAAAGGGACATTTAGAAAGGACTGTGATCTGAAGGGAAACAAAAACACGGTTTATCATGATCTGTGGATTCTGCTGAAGTGCGAGGAGGAATTCATGAACCAGGCCGAGGGAAAGGCCAGATCAAGGGAGCGCACGGGGCTGGTTTCACGTCTACAAACGCCTGGGAGAATGTGGAGGTCGGAAGGCAGGTAAGTCCTGCCTGGGGTGGGGGCTGGGGCTGCAGGAGAAGTGGGGGGAAGGGCCACAGGTGTGGGAGGGAGGGTCCGCGGTGTTTTGGGGAAGCCCCAGGGGCCGGGCGTGCCAGGACCTTCGCTGTGGCGATAACTCACAGGAGCGCAGCATCGAGTCCCATCACGTGGCTCACTTTAAACGCAGGCAGTTTACTGTGGGCACGTGGACTCTGTACTCTGGTGCTCGACCCTTCCTGTGACCCCCAAGTCCTCGAGGGGTCTCCTGCTTGTGAGTGGAAATTTTTTACGTAAAATACAGAAACAGCAAATTTGCATCAGGGTCATGGAAGCTCGTACCAGAGCACATGGGCAAGGGGGGTCCTGGGTAGAGGAAGTCAAAGGGCAGAACCCCCGAAAGTGCCGTGTCCAGGGAGGTTCCTCCAGGCCTGGGAGCTCCCACAGCAGCCGGCCTGGTAGCTTATGGCTGGTCTCCGTGTGATTCTGGCCCACTGGGTGCCCCGTCCGTCCACAGGCCACAGTCAGCCCCTTCTGCTGTCCCCTAGTGAGCTCGGTGTGGAGGGCATGTCTGCCTTGCATGGCAGGAGGGCACTCAGCGGCCTGGGACTTGCTGGGGCTCAGGCTGGAGGGGATGGGAGTGCAGGGTGGAGAGGCAGGGAGGCCGGAGCGGGAGTTGGTTGGCACAGACACGAGCTTGCAGAGGTTTCGGAAACCGTGTTTGACAGTGAAGTGTGCCACCTCTCTAGAAAAATGCCTGAGTGGAGCGCCAGGCAGGAAGCAGGCCCCGCACCCACTGGGAGTCACTCCCCTCCCCGAGCCCAGCTCACTGCCCACGGCACCCACCCTCCTGACTGTACTGCAAAGCCAGGGCTTTTTATGACCTCACCTCCAAGATCGGCACCCCGAAATCCTGAAGCCCAGTGTACCTGTTCTTGAAGTCAGGCAAATGGCCTCTGAAGGCTCGCTCTGGGTCCAGACACTGCTTTTGCGTTGCGTTATTTCCTTTGCTACACAGAAGCTTTTCAGTTCATGTGATCTCATGTGTTTATTTTTGCTTGTGTTTCTTATAATTTTGATGTCATCAAAAAAATTCATTGCCAAGACCAAGATCAAGGCGCTTTTCTCCTGCATTTTCTTTTAGTACTTGTATGGTTTCCGGTCTTACATTTAAGCCTTTAATCCATTTTGAGTTGGGTTTTGTAGATGGTATAAGATAACTATCTTAATCAGATAGTTGAATCTATTCCTGAGTACTTCATTCTTTCTGATGCCATTAAAATAGGATTGTTTTCTTAATTTCTTAATCAGATACTTAGTGCATTGGTAAGGCATAGAAAATAAACTCATTGATTTGTGTGTGGAGATTGGGTTACCCCAACACCATTTATTGACGAGACTGTCCTTTCCCCATTGTGTGTTCTTGACACCTCTGTCAAGTATCAGTTGACCCTAAAGGGGTGGGTTTATTTCTGAATTCTCCATTCTGTTCTGTTGGGCCCAGTGTCTGCTTTTATCCCAGTACCATATTGTTTTGGTTACTGTAGCTTTGTAGCATAATTTCAAACCAGGTAATGTGATGCCTCCAGCTTTGCTCTTGCTCAGGATCCCTTTGATTATTCAGGGTCTCGTGTGGCTCCTTGTAAATTTTAGGGTTGCTTTTCTATTTCTGTCAAAAATGCCGTTGGCATTTTGATAGTGCATTGAATCTGTAGGTTGCTTTGGGTAATATGGGCATTTAAAAATATTAATTCTTCCAATCCTCTAGCACAGGCTGTCTTCCCATGTATTATGTCTCCTCCAATTCATTTCATCAGTGTCTTACAGATTCCAAGGCAGAGATCTCTCACCTCATGGTTGAATCTACTCCTGAGTACTTCATTCTTTCTGATGCTATTAAAACAGGATTGTTTTCTTAATTTCTTCATCAGATACTTAGTCCATTGGTAAGGCATAGAAATACTACTGATTTTTCGTATGTTGATTTTGTATCTTGCAACTTTACTGAATGTATTAGTTCTAACAGGTTTTTGGTGGAGTCTTTGAGGTCTTGTGTATATAAGAGCTTGTTATCTGAAAACAGATAATTTCGCACCTTTTTTCCTGATGTGTGTACCTGTTGTTTCTCTTTCCTTCTTAAAATTCTATTTATTGATTTGTTAAGATGGA